TGTGTCTATACATGTACGGTGACCTTGTCTCAAACACAAACACAGTCACAGATCTCGGGATAACATACTCAGATCTTACCTTTACTGAACATGCAAATAAGGTGGTATCTGATTGTAAACGTCTAACCGGCTTTGTGCTACGCAACTTTTACACTCCAGAAGCCAGATTAGCCATATATAAGATATGCATTCGCCCCAAACTTGAATACTGTGCCCACTTATACAGTAGCTTCAAGTCGGCAGACAGAAAAAAGTTGAAAGTGTCCAAAGATTCCTTACGAAACGCATATTAGGCTATGGTCAGCAAATAGAATACCTTGACAGATGTATTCGACTGGACTTAGAGCCCTTATGGTTAAGGAGAGTGAAGTGCAATTTATTTCTCTTATTCAAAGTTATAAGAAAGCACTGTAACAGTAACTCGTCCATAACCTGGGCTAATCCTAAATCGTATGGACTACGCAACCACAACTACCTTCTCAAGGTTAACACCCATAAACTCACCACTAGAGCTAACTTCTTCACCATTAAATATTGCAAACTTTGGAACCAACTACCCTCTGAGATAAGATCCTGTGAAAGGCCTGACAGTTTCAAAAGGAGCCTAGAAAAACATATAAACATGTCCACCCTAGCCCGCCTCAAAGATCTCAACTGCTGGTAGAGTGGAGAGACAATGGCTTTTCAATATTTAACTACGGAAAGTACACTAGTCCCAATACCAATATAATAACACTTAGTAATTATGTAGGTTCAATACTTGAAATTCGATTGTCATTAAAATACTTAAAATGATTAAAATAGCTATGCGGCAAGTGTTCTCTTGCTTTACCATGCTTGTTTCCCTTATAACACTCAGTTATTGAGCCTAATGTATTCTTTGATAATACGAATTATGACACTGACTATGCTCTTATTATACATAGATTGATTTACTTTACGACTACCTGTAGTACTAACTACCCTTCTGTAGTATTGTTAAACAAATGCTGAAATTTTGTTGGTTCTGTTAATATCTTTTTATAATATGTTTAGACACGTTACTTTGCAATGTCAGATGTCTACTATATACAAGACTGTCATGATAATTTAGTACACTAAGTCCTGCCAACCGACCTTACCTTCAGTTCATACTACCTACATTGATCCCTAACTATATTGTTCTGCTGAATCTTGCTTCACTATTCACAAAACCTATTCTTTTTATTCTTTAAGGTTCTAACTTCTTGTAAAGTAATCTGTTCATTAGGACGCATGCATACATATATAATGTTCATAAAGATGTACGCGGAGACCTATTGGAAGCACTCATTAAGAAAGCTAGGGAGATGGAATATGAGGTACGAACATGTCTGGTACCAAGCAATATATTTGCGGTAGCCATAATAATCATAGTCTCAGAGCTTAACATCAAAAAAGGAGGGAGGGTGGCGTTAGCTGATCAGTAGATATGGTGGGGGTCACTAAGGTGAATCGCCCCATTCTGCAGGAACAGCAATATACAAATTAAAGGCTCGAGATATTTCTGATTTTTATGAGGGCTTAGATCTTTATCTTGAAAAAGATAATAATGAACGCCTTGACAGATCATGCTTCTACCTCTAAATATATACCATTCGCCCAGCCTATTGTTGAGATGCGACCATGTGGGATGTGCACAGATTTATGGGGCATCTTATAAACTAACTTGCTGTCCATTGACTGATCTTTAAATACCACTTCACAATGTCTTATCTCATTCATTTTCCAATAACGTCTTTACTTGATCCTCATTATATCCCATTAAACCTAACATTTTACAGCTCTTTATGACTTATTATATTCCTACTCTCTGAAGGGTACGGTTGTACATTAAATGCACAAAAAGGTATAAAACAAAAACAACTGGCACAACTGAGGATAAATGTATTAAAACCAAAAGTGGACATCATGATAGTACGAGGTATATGTGTTGCATTATACATTGCAAATGAACGTTGTCAGCCTAGGGAGTTTTCTTTTTTAATGCATTTATTAATGATACTTGCACTTACCTATTTCATTACAATTTAATGATTCACCTCAGCACTTTTACTTTTCTAAAACAGCTTTCAATCCCTTGTAAACGTTGTACTTACCTCAATATTGGTTGGTTATCGTATGCCGACAACCACGGGATGAAAACGAAACGAAGTCGATTTTCCCGCTCAACCTGGAGGACAATTGTACAATTCAATAACTATACAGCCTAGTTCAGACAATGTGTATTTATATATATATCAAATATTTAACTGTTGAAACATTATTAACTTGTAGACAATCTACGATTTGATATTATATCATACTTGATCGTGCCTGTAAAAATGGCATGCATTTTCATGTAAATTTATGTGTTTATATGAGAATATACATTATTATTATTATTTGTTGCCCTTCCAAAAGGCCATACAAGTGACGGTTCACGCCATCTCGGTGCTATCTGTTTAGCTGTCTCATTAACAACAGCTAAACTAATAACTGTTCAGTAATGCGGCCATCATGTTAGTTTGTCCGTGAATCACAATGTGAGTGCTTCTTTAGTTGTGAAGCTGAGTAGCAGTTCAACTAATAGGGATGATCAGTAGACCAACCTATTTGGTCGCCTTTCCATAGTGTTCCCTGCCATTTCACATTACATCGCAAAAGTTGCACTTGGCGGATAAGTCTAAGGGCCATTTTATTCAATCAGGCGGGTATTCAGCATCAAAATGCAGAATATATTGAAAGCGATGCCTCCATTAGGCAGATAATGTGGATTTACGGGTTGAATAATGGTGTAAGTGATAGCCCCGTGGTTTAATAAATGTAGTTTTGCCAAAGAAATATGGATTAATTCAGTAAATGGCTTCATTCTGACCGCTTCTATCAAGTATAACTGGCATGTATACGCCAAGATTGTATGGGCAACCCAAAGTGCATAAACCATGAGTAAAGTTAAGACCAATACTTGATATGCGAAATGCGCCTTACCATGTTCTGACTGGATGGTTAGTTAATATTCTCAAAGATTTGCATTTGAAGGCAGTGAGAGATAGCGTCAAAGATGTATCTGAATTTGTAGACAAAATCAAATGTATTAATATCAAGGATAAAACCATGATATTTCTGGACATAACATCTTCATTCACGAATGTACCTCTAGCACAAACAGTTAACTACATATGTGAACAAGTGGATAACCAGTCGATAAATATTGGCATTCTAACGGAAATCCTAAAGCAATTTTTATTAAAGTATACCATGAATGTAAACTTCAAATTTGATAGCAGACATTACAGACAAGTGGATGGGTGGCGATGACCCCGTATTGGGTCCCATTTTGCCAGATTTCTTTCTAACTTAGAAAATGGCCCTTCGAACAACCTTATCGGGAAATTCTCATTTTATTGGCGGTATATAGATGACACATTCATCCATTGTGATAACGATTCGGAACGGAACACAACAATAACTGAATTCAATGAAGTACATTCTTCTATGAAAATCACATGCGAAGAGGAAACCCAAAACAGAATTGCCTTCCTCAATGTCCTTCTTACAAGAAAACAAGATGGCAGGGTAAAAAGAAATTTGCATTGGAAGAGTGCATGGACTGGACAGTATACACATTCTCACAGCCTCGTTCCTATCAAGTACAAAAGAAATTTTGTAAAGACCCTCAGCCACCGAGTTAGAGCTTTGTGCTCAGAAGAAGTAATCGAAGATGAATCAAGTATTGTATATGATACTTTGATCGCAAATAGCTATCCCGAAAAATTTACCAAGAGACACATGACAAAGAAAGCGGAAAGGGACTACTCACTCTCCGTAAACAATAAGCCTTTAACATAAGACTGCAATTCAAGGGCAATACACCAAGTGAAGTAATTACGCAGAAATTAAGAAAATCAGTTCAAAGTACTTTTAATGCTGGAAAACTGCACTTCTTTTTCTCTACACGACCGATTCCTCGCCCGAAAGATGAAGTACCTAGACTAGCTAGCCACTTTCAATTGTATTTACCAATTCAGCTGCACTTGGGGTGGAGCAAGTTATATCGGCCACTGCCCTAGGAACTTGATTTTTCGTGCTCTCTGGGGAACATCTCCCACTATGGCTAAGTAAAGGTGTAGTGAAAACCATCAACAGTTCGATGTTGGACCGTCTGGTCCAAACCCGCCACAAAGGCCAGCCAGAATTTAAGAATCCCTCTCTATCATCTACCAGGTACCAAATAAATTGCGAAAACATCCAGGCACCGTTTACTTCAAACAGCAGAGGCTGTCACAATTAGCGTGAAACAACCAGTGCTTTGTGCACAAAGGAAGCAAATGTTATTTATTTAATGTTGTTCATAACACTAATTCATTCACTATAATGCATATATAACTGTACAGCCTACCGATGGAGTTGCCGAAAAGAGCATTCTTTGTTCAGTAAACATTCTTTGGAAAATTTTAATGGTCGTCTTTAATCATTTAGGATAGACCAAGGACTGGAGCAGATTTTGAATAAGCTGTGAAACGATTCGGAATATTTCGCTATCCATTCGGTCTTTTGGCAGCTGATGTTGACATATTTCGTAGGTTATCCGTAGGTTATGTCCCACTTGAAACGTGAGGTCTGATCAGTGGGACAATATATGAATAACGAAGAAGTATTAGCAAGATTTCAAGTAGTGGGAACCAAGATGACGAAGTGACTGTATAGAATATATTAATTCTCACTATTATCTCGGCGTCTCAGGTGGACTTATACAGGCACGCAGCGTCTTCTGTAACGGGTTAAGTGCCATATTACTCTGTTCTGTTCTCCTCAATAAGCTAGCTCATATATAAGGACGTCAACTTGAAGTCCAGGCATCATGGTTGAGCAGTTAAACATCTAGAAATTCATTTTTCAAGCCCAAATATTAGCTGAAACAGTTCTCTTCAGCACCCTTAGATTCTTACGAAGCAATTAGGAGCATCCAATGTAAGGCTGAATTGATGATCAATGTATTCCTGAATCCTATTATCCTCAATAAAAAAACACTTCCCTTCCTTCTGTTAGCGTGTTTGGCATAGGTAATGTAAGCAAAAGGAGATTCTGTGCACCTGCATCCACCAAGGTCTTAGACCGTCTTATCACACAAATGAAAAAGTCAAACAAATCGGTTGCTCTTTATAAGTTGGTCACAAAGAAATTGAAACTTGCGAAAAAATCCGGGAGGAATGAATTTTACAAGGTCACGTGTTATATGAAATGCTCAGTAGTGTGCCTGAGAATTTGAAATCAGTTGTCGATGATCTTATTAAGAAAATCACGTCTAATAAACGCAAATCATTTTCACGTAGTATGTCTTTTCTTTTTTAAAAACTTAAACAAACTTTTAACGTCAAATAGGTGATGTACAGCAATTCTATTCTCTCGGTGAAAACCTTTTTACTTGGTAAGTATTTATTGACGCAAATATTTGTTGGCAGTCACTCAAAGCCAACGTCATTGTCAGAAGTTGAAGGAAAGCTGTTTTCGAAACGTACGAATATTTTGCTTAACTATTGCTACTTAGTTCTAGTAGATGGACGAGACACTGATTCAGTTATACTTAAACGCCTTCTAAACAATTTGCACAGCTTGGTAATTCATTAATATGCTTATTTTTCCAGCCTTCAGTTACGCGAAAAGCTGAAATTTTGGATTTCTTGTATCTGTTATCCAAATACAATTATCGAGTAAGATATTACTTCCATCATTACACTCACTTTTCTATAAGCGCAAAACTGATATTCGTCAAAATTCAGGAAATAATGGTTCCAGTGGCTTTTACTCAGACTTGTAAGTTATTTTTGCAAGCATTTTCTCCTCCAATCCTGGTTAACTTATCGTATGTAAATCCGTTATTTGTTTGCAATGACTTTACAGAAATAGCACTTAAAACTATCAGATTGCTGATAGCTTTGATGTGCAAACTGTTTATTGAAGGTTAGGAAAATGTGCATAATTATTTTAAGCGTTGAGTGGTCTTTTATTCTCATGAACACAATTAAAACGATGGGCAGTACTGTGTTAACATCAGTCTAAATATCAGTGTAAAATTAGCATCATTATGATATCACGTATTTAGTGTTTCGAAATATACATTCAATCAGTGTCTTTATTGTTTTAAGCGGTATTCTGGTTCTTTAGTGTTTCAAAGCTGTGGATTCATCATAATGTACACCATAAATTAGGTTCGGAACTTGTTATTCAGTAATTCCATCTCATTATGTCGTGAAATTATTAGGTTAAAACTGAATGGTGTTTACAAATTTGAATTTGTTACTGCTGTTGCATACTATGGTTTTCTGCATTTCTCTTGATATCTAGGGGATTTTATGTGAAATAAAGTCTCCAAAAATGTCAAGTGGTGGTTCAAAATTACCGTCAACTTTCGGTCAAACTTTTACACTTTCAACTAAGTATCAATTGCAGTTTGAACACCATCACTCTAGTAAAGATCTTCTACATATGACTGCAGAGTTTTACTGACTCGTTGTTTGTTGATCTAAATAATTTTTCCAATCTAAGCAGATTTTCTATTCAAAATTTCGGATTGATAAGTGAGGATTACAGAGGTTTCGTGTGCATTTCGGATTGTGAGGGCGATTGTTACTTCCCGGCTGCCCACACCGTGGAAGTTGGTTGCGTGACCGCAGAACCCAGGGACAACTGTTTGAGGCCGGTCACACGCGGCCTGTTTTTGCTTGTTCGTTTTTGTTTGGTGTGTCTCAGTAGCAGATTTATCACTCCCGCCCTGTGACACGGCAGCAGGAAGCGCGGTCGTTGTTAATCCGGGCCACGGCCGATCCGGCATGAAATTTTGTGATTTTGTATTGGTCATGATGTTGGATTGGGTAGCTGCTTTTTGTTTAACCGCTATCCAAACAACCTTTCTGGCATGGTAGAACCTCAAGAAACATGTCTCAGCCAGTATAGCTTGTTGGGACATTGCGGTGTTCAAGCCCGACCACCACGTCAAGGTAGCAGCTTTTGGTCGGGTTCTATTCAACAACCCATTGATTAATCACCTCAGCTCTAAAAATGGTAATGGAGTATTATTTCTCTCAGATTTTCACTAACAGTTCATTGATTAAATTTTCAAAAGAATGGTTACTGAACAAAAAATACTCTTTTCGACAACTTCATCATCAGGCTCTACAGTTATATATATATATATGTATATATATATATTATAGTAAATGAATGAATTAGTGTTATGAACAAGATTAATGTCGTTGTTTAAATAACATCGAATCAATAATACCAATAGATTACAGCTCAATAGCATCAACATAAAATAAGCTGAATGTCAGACAGAAAAATTAGGAAAGATAATAATGCAAATTCATGAGTTGACAGTTTCTACTGAAAGCCAGGGCAGTAGTAGGGCCTGGCTGGACTTGCTCCTTTTGAACACAGAGAACTGGTTGTTTGAGGCGAATTGCAATAGCCTCTGTTGTTTGAAGTATGCGGTGCTTCGATGATTTCGACAATTTATTGAATGATTAAATTTCGGTCGGTCAGATTGCATAATATGCGCATTTCCTCAACCCCTGTCTACCGTGTCTGTTTGTTTTGATTATTCTTATCTGTATCTTAGTTACAGAGTAGTTAACTTTGTTTATTTAGGTAGTTTTTTTGGGGTTGTAAGTATTTAGAGGCATAATTGCAGTAACTTTTTAAATATCTTTAATTATTAGGACGTCTCATCCTTCTCTTCAGTCAAAATCCAAACCTCCTACTCCAAGTGCAGGATCTACTATTCGACCTGTTGACCAGCCATTCCATGCAACAGGGGACCACTTGATTGATTTATGGGGTCCACCTGCTGGTGATACATTTAAAGTTCCTCCCGTTCCAAGCCATAAAATTAATCGTCGTGTCCTTGGTCAACACACCAAAAACTCTTCAGTTCCTAAAGGTAAGCATTTACTTAATATCTTAGCTTGTTACGTTACTTGACGTATTCTGTACAGTGTGTGTAGTTCTTTTCTTCTGAAAGCAGCTAGTGTTTTCCAAGGAATACAACTGAAGCCAAATGCCTGACGATTTACTTTGATAATCTAAGCTATTCAAATCGTAGTGCTTAAATTTTTTGGCACCTTAAATGGCATCAGCAAAGTGAACAGTGTGTTACACGTTATGTGTTACTGACTGAATTAAGTATTTTGGAAATCACACAATCCAATAGTCTTCGCTAACCAGTGATTTAAATCCCTGGGCGCACCTCTGGTGAGTTCGACCCGGAACTAGTGAAGTGATGAGCAAGTGCTTTTGTTGGTTGTGAATTATTAATTACTGCGTAACGTTTGTATAACTTTCTTCCGTAAGAAGTTAACAGATAAAGCCAATAATGAAACACTTTCTCACATCGTATCATTTGTTAAATCTTTAGATTACATCACAAATATTAGTCCGACATGTGTTGGCGGCGTTACTTCACACACTAGGTGTTTTGTGTGTATTCATTCAAATGGAGGTCAAACAAAAACATGGATTCACCAGTCAATGAAATTTACAACAGTTAAACTAAGCCACGTAGGAAGGTGTAGACTTCCTGATTGAATGGTTGGGGTCCTCGGGACAGTAAAAACCAATGGTTGGAAACAATTGGTGACGGCTCAAAATCGTTCTCAGTGGCGCAGATGCATCCACTCCTTGTGACTTATGATTTCCAATGAAACTGTTTTGTTCTTCGTTATTACTCTTCGTTTTTCTTACACCTGTTTGCCGTCTCTATTATGCAATTCTTCTACTTTCTTCTCTTGCTTTGTGTGCTACAAGGAGGGAGTGTGGCGACTCTAACTGTCGCACATTGATGGAAAGTTCTATGTCGAAAACAGACAGACATTCAAATGAGCATCTAGACAGTCGCTTTTTTTACACAATTGTAATTTAGCTACCTAAATCATAAACAGCATTTCGAGTTGTGTAAACTCAACTCAACTAATTATTCACCGTACAAATTTGAGCATAAGAGCAGCATTTCAAGTTGCCACATTTGTAATTCTCTGAAGAATAATGAGGTTTAAATTCATCCTGTAACTTGTAAAGAGTGAACGCATGTAAGCTATTGAGAAAGATTTTGAACCATGTTGCCGACCGTCTCTAGTCGTTCATCCTTAGCATCTTACAGAGCCGAGACAGGCAGTCTAGATCTCAATCAAACCAATAATCAAAGACTTCATGAGCTGACATCACTAACTCTTTTCCAATCAATCCAAAGTTGTGTCAGCTAATGTTATTCGACGAAAAAGGAACTGCTTAGCATGCGTAACAACACGTGTCTAAGCCATCTCACTCAAAGCAGATTCACAACTTTATCGACTGATTACCCTTCTCTACCTGATACTGTATACTTAAGTATTTTTTTTAACCAGTAATTTCTAAATGTAAATGGAACTAATTATTGAATTGAATTCTTGATTTTCCCGTCGATTGATTGGACCGAAGTGTTCGGTCTCAGGTTGACATGTCGGCTTCTTGTGCAGATGCTTCGACCCGTTGCACAAGAGGTGGCTCTCGTGGCCCAAGTGGTCTAGTGGATAACGCTTTGGCGTTTGAAACTATGGGCACTGGGTTCGAGCCTCGGTGGGAACATCATCACTCACTGAGAAATGCAGGTACATCCAGCTGACGAGTCCCAATTAGGACGAAATGCTCTTTATCCTGGATTCCACTGCTAGCCACCATCCACCAATTGTAAATGGAACTAGCTGATAACTATTATAGATTTATTTCCGTCTGTAAATATCACAATTTTTCTTAGGCAATCTAAAATTTCTTCTCAATTGATAAGGAAGGAACAAAGTTCATTCATTATATGTGAATATTTTGAAAGTTCAGTCCTCTCCATAATCTGAAAAGATAATAGCCAAACGAAAATATGTTACAATACTATTTAGTGTATTGAGCAAATTTAACTAATTTATTTTAGTGAACCAACAGCACTGTTAACACTTATAGAAAAACATAAATGTGGTAGTGTGATTTCTAGCCGTATTGGTTTTTTTTTAAATTTTTTTTATTTGAAGTTGTGCTTTGTATATATATATATAGTGTACCACTTGCAATTAATAGTGTTCTCTGAGCTGGTGTTGGTTTAGTTGCGGAGCTCTCGTCGTCCCCTTATCTAGACATCTTCAGCGCAATTTTTAGCATAAAGTAAAATGATTTAAATTTCTTCATGAGTGATATAATTGCATATCCCGGTAACCATCTTTACATATGTATTCACCATTTTCTATTGACTTGGATTTTAAACTTTTTGGTCACCCGATTTAATTTTTATTAGTTGGTATATTTCGTCTTTATTAGCGTGTTTGTTAATTGCATTCTCGTTTGAGTACTAGGTTTATAGGAATTCCCTGGTACGCTAATATAGACCAAATATACCAACTAATAAAAAGTAGATCATGGGACCAGAAAGTTTCAAATCCAAGTCAATAGAAAATGATCAATACATATGTAAAGATGGTTGCCGGGAGATGCAGTTATATCATTCATGAAGAAATTTAAATCATTTCACCTTATGCTAAACATTGCTCTGAAGGGGGGGGATGTTGTCTAGATGGGGGACGACGAAAGCACCGCAACTAAACCAACACCAGCTCAGAGAACACTATTAATTGCAAAAGCATCCACCTGAGCTACAAATCTTCTCTATTATAGTGTACCACTACATACTAATGTAAAAAACCAATTTTTCCCCTTGTCTACCCTATTGTGAACTACTTGTCTCTCTTCGGACCAATATTAGGTCTGGAAGATAGTATTAAAGTCCCTAATTAGGAAATGTTCATGTCAATGAAGCTGATTGTTTACGGTGACTTATTCTTCAAAAACGATCTCAGTAATGCCCAAATACACATACATTAGAATGACTATTTGACAGTCAAGCTTTATGACTTAGTGGGTTGTGACTGGCAGTGGAGTTCAGGATGTGCATTCCGTCCTATTTCGGACTCGTCCTCTGGGTGTACCTACATTTTTTAGTGAGTGATTATGGCTTTCCCACTGAGGCCCGAACCCACTACCCATAGTTTCAAACGCCAAAGCGTTATCCACTAGACCACCTGGGCCACGAGAGCCACCTTTTGTACAATGGGTATTAGTAATTATTTAATTCATTTTGGACATTCCCATTGACTGATTGGACCAAAGTGCTTGGCCTCAGGTTCATTTGTCGACTCCGTATGCAGGTGCTTCAACGATGTCTGATCACTGATATAAGTCTGATAATTTAACTTGAAGTAAATTGGTAGATGGTGACTAGCATTGGAATCCAGGATGCGCTAGTGGATAACGCTTTGACGTCTGAAACTTTGGACACTGCGTTCTAGCCTCAGTGGAAACACTATCGCTCACTGGGGAGTGCAGGTACACCCATTAGCCGATGAGTCCCAAATGGGACAAAACGCGCGTCCTAGATTCGACTGCTAGCCACCATCCAGTAAATTAATTCAATTTAATCCTTAGACATCGTTGATTTGTCCAAAATAGCAGCCGACATATCAACCAGCTGAGGCCGAACACTTCGTTTCAATCAATCAACGAGAAAGTTGAAATGGAATTAAATAAGCATTATGACTGTTTCGAAGGTTTGGTCGATGAAGGTGAGAAAAATTGAAGTCAGTGAGCCGTGTATACTTCTACTGATTTCAAACGATAAAGGAGAGAAATTAATTGTGTCTTTAAATTTAGATAAAATGTCTTTCTTAATAAGGAACTTTCAAAAGGGTAATATACTCTTCAAAGACCTGTCTATCTCTGACATACTATTCAAAAGTGTCATCGTGTCCCCCACTAACAAGTAACCAATCTTAGTATTAGAAAAATGCAATGATTTTTCAATTGTTCGATTTCGTTGTAAACCAACATCATTTTGGAGAGGTTATCATGCTCATCGATAGCATCGGTTGAGTGTGTAACGCTATATCACGAATCGACCTAGCTGGCTGGTCAACGAGGTTGGTTTCGTAATCTGAAGCTCCTGGGTTCCATCCCTGGTGAAGCTGCGGGTGTGCACTGATGAAGAGTCTCAAACTAGGAATAAACAACTGTTTGATGGTTACTGGCTTTCAGTGATCTCTTTGACTGATGTTGGTTTGCGACGAAATCTAACAGCTAAAATTAGATTAATCCAAATCCCCCACAAATGCCATTATCTATGTGACGACTTTTTTTGGCCTAAATTACACTTAGAACTTAACCATCTGATAAAATCTGAGGTGTACTGAATGCGTCGACATTGTTATCCAATCTTTTCATACGAAGTTTTATAGTTAAAAGTTTAGTAGCAACCAATATTTCCATTTCTACTTGTAACAGATCAAGGTTCTGTTACATAATGTCGATATTTTGTTATCATTAATTATTATTATTATTATTATTCTCATGGGTTCCGAGTAGAAAATGGAGCTCCACCAGCTCCTCTTTAGCTGGCTCCACAACTGTCCATAAGCTTTCATCTCCTCCTCACAATATGTCCTAGTTACATTACCAACCTTGAACTGCCAACTCACCATTTCCCATTCGAATCCCCTTCGAAGGTATGCTTGGCGCTTGATCTCACTTGACAGCCTCCTCACTGTGTGTCCTACCCGTCTCCACTTTCTTCGGCATATATATATATTGGACAATACTTGACTGGTTGTTTCATTGTCAGGGTGTCCTGTTGTGCATCTTTTCTGGCTGTCTAGTCTTCAGAATATGGCGAAGACAGCTGTTGATACGAGAGTCTGTGGAGTCTATTGATATTGCACTGATCAAGGAACTCACTCTACTCGTACTCATGCAGCCAGGTGAGGGCTTACGGCGAGTTGTCATCTGAACTGGTGACGACAAGTGGTGTCCGTCAAGGATGCCCACTATCCCTTTTTCTATTCAACTTCATCATAGATGTGTTAATGGGCTTAACCCTAAGTGACTTCAGCGACTCAGGGATTGACTTGCTACCAGGGAATAATCTCGTTGACTTAGAATATGCAGACGATATAGTCCTCCTAGGCGACGACTCTGACAAAATCCAGAGTCTTCTAAACACCTTGAGCTGCGATCTACGAATGTTTGGCATGCGATTCGCTCCCGCCAAATGCAAGATGATGTTGCAGGACTGGACTACACCGACTCCTAGAATAGATATAGGAAGTGACGTGGTAGAGCACGTTGACCGCTTCACTTATTTGGGAAGTACCATCAGCCCCAACGGGTTGATCTCCAGCTGTTTTCTGGCTAGTGAAATATTGGCAGCCAGGTAGTTTTTAATGGCTAGTCACCAAGTATGTGAAGATACAAATGGTGTTATACCATTGGAAGTTACAAAGTGATCATGTCTTAGCGATTTCTAAAAGAATATTTCGTCTGACTTTTCACACTGAGAAGTTAAGGCACTCAGGCATAACTCAACCAACCCCTCCTCCGCTTACAGTTTGTCAACTCTTGCATCTTACCTATTCTTCTTTACTGTTCACCCTTGCTTAACCTTTCCTGGATTGCTTAAAAAAGACCATGTCATACTTCGTAGAACTCTGAAGACTGACTGACTAGTAGGACGACTGGTGGTATCCAATTGGGCCATATCGTTGACATTTTCATTGATAGGCATTTGATTTCATGAAGCAAATTTGCTGAAGGAATTTTGTCAGATTGTGAGCATCCACCGCAGCACCCGCAGCTTCAACCTTGTGTCTCCTCCTCAGATAAAACAAGAAGTCTTTTCAGCAGACTTTATGCACGTACGTCTAAGTATAAAAATTCCACTATACCATATTTGGCGGAACGTAATTTGTGTGATGAAAATAGCGTTAGGCATGAACTAACTGACTAACCTTCTTTGCACTGTTAAATAAACCATTTTCTCCACTCTTATGACACCAAACTTTATTGTTATTGTACTTCTTATATTTATAATCCTCCCAATTTTTTGTTTTTATTTGTTTATTTTTTCATAAGTGTGAACGTCATTTGAGCTGTGTTATGTGACTGTTAATTTTGTATTTCCCCTCACCATGCTGCTATATCAACAGAACATTAGATTCAATAATCTATAACATGCTAAAATTTCCAAACTGAATCGACAATACTGTTTGAAACAAACTCACTGTTATTATTACTATTGTTATAGTTATTATTCTCATTTGTACTTTGAATATTTTTGACTTTATATCGTAAATGTGGACAAATTCCTCTGGTTAATTTTCTTTCAATTTAATTTATATTCTGAGTAAATCAGATGGAAGGTATTGTGACAAATGCTGAGAATTCCATTCTGTATTATAAATATTGTCTGTTTAGGAATAAAGCAGATTATTAATTATTATTATTATTATTAAGGAGTTTATTCCGAAAGCCGTGTACAATATCTGAACTTAATCCTGTGGAAATACCCTTCACCCTTTTATGTCACCATGCCTGACAGTAAACGTTGGGTCTGTCTACGATTGTATTTTATTTTTTATTTATTTTGATTATAGCTTGAAACCATACAGTATTTTTGGTACAAGTATGGAATTTTCAGCATGTGATATCGGTAGCCCAAATTTTGCAGGCGAACCATTGATATCGGGTGTGCGTCGTCAGGGGATCAAACCCCAGTCCTTGTGCAAGGTCGGCGAGAGTCCTAACCGCTGTGCCACCGACGCACAGAATAGTTGATCGCAATGCTTGTTTGACACTGAGTTTCGATAGATTTACCATTGTGTAGTATGATTGTACTCAAGTTTTAAGTAGCTTAGTGCAGAAAATTGAGTCACATTCAGTTTGATAATACTGCTGTGAGGCTCTAGATAAGCGTCTATCACTCAAAAAAACATCAATCCATCATCATCCAGTAGAGGAGGAATCTTGAGCTGTATTCATTGGTCATCGCTTGTTATGTAAAGTTAAATTTTCTCATTGGGTTGGTTAAACGACCATTTTAAAAATTCACCAGCAGTCAGTTACTCACTTTGCTGGCGTTTTGTTTGCCTCATCCACGAAAAATCTGTCTGGTTGACTTTCACTAATCAATAAAATTTTTAAAAACAGTGTTGTCAACGGGAGAGGGCTGTTGAGTGGTTGCGCCACAGGTTGATCCTGCATGCCGGTCTCGTCTCGCAAGAGGCAGGGACGGGTGTGTTTTTGGTTCTCCTGAAAACCAATACCCAGTCAATGGGTGTATCACTGTGTGAAGTAGTGAGCGTCGGTGGGGGCACAGTGCCTAGGACTCTCGCCGACCATGCGCACATGGTCCGAGGTTCGATCCCCTGCCGACACACACCCGATATCTATAGTCGGCCTGCAAAAGTTGGGCTACCGATATCCATGCTGAAAATTCCATACCTGTACAAAAAAATACGGTGTGGAATCAAGCTGTGGTCAAAAATAAAATAAAATAAACAAACAAAATCTGATGTAAAATTCTTTTTTCTCCAAATTATCTTTCAGCTCCTAATCGGACAACAGTTCCAGAAACTGATATCCTCCGTGAATTATTATTTGTATTGAGCGGTGGAGGTGGGAATTTAGTTAAATTTAAGGATTCACCGGATTCCTTTGAAGTAAGTAAAGAGTTTTATTAGTTTTGTTTTTTTCTTTCATTCTTTGGCATTCCGATTGGAACACAGGGAGTGTGTCTGCTAGGAATCGAACCTCGGACCACATGCGTGACTGCCGGGAGTGTTCTGTTGCTGAGCCATTAAGACACCAGTTCTACCATTTCTTGTTAATTAAACTGTTTGAATTTTAAGTTGTATCAAAAACTGACATCAACTAGAGAATAATTGAAAAACAGAGAACACTGGACGCTTGCTTCCTCCGAGTCTGGGACTCTTCAGTATTATTCACTTATGACCTCAGGGGTGGGTGGGTGGTTAGAAACGAAGGCCTTCAGGTTACGAGTTGATTCTGTTAACCATTCAACCATCGGAACATATGGTTTTCTATAGTCTTGGCAGGCGTATAGAAGCTATTTGCATGCTAAATTGGTTGGCAGGGATAACGATTTCATTGAATTTAGTGGCTGCTGGCTTCTTTTATAGGGGCCTATGGTCACTATAGCGTCGCTACGCGTGCTACTTTTGCATATGATAATACATTTGGCTGGTTTTGTATGCGAGATGAGCTCTATTGGACTTGTCTGTGCAGTGCATAATTGATTGACGCGATCAGTGATCGGCGTAACGATGCTTACCTATGCATTATCATGTATACTAACGGTGCGAATGGTCCACCAAGGGAGAGGGCTCTCCAGTGGTTGCGTCATAGGATGATACTGCATGCTGGTCTCGTCTCGCAAGAGGCAGGGATGGGTGTATTCGGTTCTCCTGGAAACCAATACCCAGTCAATGGGTGTACTATTATGTGAATAAACGAGTTGATCCTGCCATTCAGTCTCAGAGATTAAGCCATGCATGTCTAAGTACATACCTTAAAACGATGAAACAGCGAATGGCTCATTAAATCAGCTATGGTTCCTTAGATCATATATACTACATGGATAACTGTAGTAATTCTAGAGCTAATGCATGCAATTATGCCCTGACCCGCAAGGGAACGGATGCATTTATTAGAACAGAACCAACCGGGAGCAGTGTCGGCTGTCTCCGTTGAATTCTGTAATGACTCTGGATAACTTTAATGATCGGAGTCAGCCTTGTATTGGCGACGGATCTTTCAAATGTCTGCCCAATGACAATTTGTTGGTAGGTGATCTGCCTACCATGATACAATAACGGGGAGATGGGGAATTAGGGTTCGATTCCGGAGAGAGGGAGCCTGAGAAATGGATGGCTACTCATATCCAAGGACGGCAGCAGGCGTGGAACTTAATGTCACCACTTCACCCCACTGACCACTACTTCTCATTAAGACTTCAGAATATCCATCCATGAGGCCGGTAATGAGCTGTAGGTTGATATTCAGGTTAAATATTTGATGATATAGGGATTTTGGTTAGTTTTTAATGTAAACTTCGTTAGGAATCCTGGTTTTTCAATGGTGGTGGTTCTCAAAGAAATTCACAGTGAGATGGATTAGAACCCACTAGAGAACTCATAATCTGAGCTAGTTTAGAGGTATGAACTAAACTGCGATTGACTGTGACAGATTTTAAGTACCACATTGTTACTCTCTATTGTTGATTTTATCATTATATATATATATATATATAAATTTGATAAAAACTTTGATGAGATTTACATAATAATCATAATATCAATGGGATGCTCACTGGCGACTGACCCTATTCAGGTAGGTAGTTACCTGGGGTTCTAATGGGAAGTCGTGACCAGTAGAATGTGAGGACAAATACTCGCTTGCGATGACATTGGCTAGCGGTCGTGCTATGTCGTCAATTGACTGGTAGAAGTTAGAATTCATGGGCTGACTGGTCATTGGATCAGGTCCCAGTGGCTTAATGGTCTCTATGAGCTTGTTAGCCTTGTAACCAGAAGGTCCTGGGTTCGAACCTTGGCGGTGGGTGGGTGGGTGCGTACTGATGAAGAGTCTCAAACTAGGCTGACGAAACAGCTCTCTTCCAGTACTCCGTGGGAGGTTTTGCAATGGTTCCTCTAACTGAGATGTCAGCTCATGATGAAAATCCTGTAACCAATCTATCTGAATCTCTATAAAAAAAAATCAATACTTGAAACCTTATCTTAATTTTGTTTTGTTTTTTGCTGTTGTTTCTAATTAAAAATTATTTTCAAGTTAGTGATCAGTCCAAATATTTCTGATAGTCAAAAAGATGCAGTTCAAAAAATTGCTATCTGTGGTTGGCTACATAATGCAATTCAACACTGGATGAGAAGTGCTCAAAGTAATCGATTTGGTGGTGTTATCTTACAATGTTTTACGACTGGATTACATGAACACATGACGGAGTATTATGGTCTACTTGCTCGTTTAGAAGTGAGTCAGTCAGTTGGTGTAGTGATGAATTATTATTATTTTTTTGGTTGGATGGTCGGTTTTTTATTTTCACCACCACTACCGCTACCACCCCCAGGTTCATTTGTTTGTAAGAGGTACGTACTTTTTGTATTCCTTTTTTACATTTTGAATGAAATATGTCACGCTTCAAGCTTGAAAAATAAGTTTCGGATTTTCAACTCCAATGTAAAGTCAGTGCTACTTACTATAGGTATCAGAAACTTGACCAGGGCGTCATGAAGAGCACGTCAAACAAACTATAAACCTTCATTAACAGTTGACACCTTCGCTCAATACTACTCAAGATCAGATGGCCAGCTAGAAAAAATTAGCAACAGGGAGGGATCTGTGGCAATGGACGAATCAACCCAACAGAAACCGATTGTGCAGCAAATCTGCAGGAAGAAATGGAAGTGGATTGGTCATAACTCTGAGGAAGTAAACCATCAAGTTACATCACACGATAAGTCATCACTCGAGTGGAACCTGAAAAGGAAACGGCGAGTTGGTCGTCAATGCAAGGGTGACTTGGAGGTGATGTGAAGAGGAGATGAAAGCATGTGGGCAGACGTTGAGCCAGGTGAAAACTCTAGCAGAGAACCGAACACGGTGGAGACTCGGGCGGCTGAAGCCCTATGTTCCTTTAGGAATTAAAGGAAGTAATAATAATAATAAATATCAATCTTGGTGTCTTGAAGTTTCAGTATTGCTTGTGGCGGTGGTGGTGTTGCTGTTTTATTTTTTAAATTTTTTGACAGGGTGGGGTTACTCACCTCATCTCTCAGCTTCTTTCACTATCGGACTTGCTGCTGCCCGACTAGGTGAGGTCTAGAGGAGGTTTAAGACTGTGTCGGCAGGAATTCAAACCTCCAGACCACTTGCGTACTTGCGTTGTGGGGTTGGTGAGCATTTTTTTTATAGTTGAGTAGTGGTGAGTCACTGACGCACAACTGATGTATCTATCTATCTATCAGCGAACCTTAGTGCTGACTATTGTTGACTTGCAATTATGCAATGCTGAGACGTTCAGGTTCTGTTGTTTTTTCTGGTTTTCTTCAAGCTTTCAGTATATATATTCTAAAGGAGCTCTGATTTAGTTTTAATCAGCAAGTCATGGGGCATCAAAAAGGCTCGATTTACTGAAACATGACAATTTCTCAGAAAACTGCTACCGAGTTACCTTTCAAGAGATAGACAACGTTGAAGGAAGCATTTTGAGGACAACGCCCAAGCTCACTTAAATGGGATGTAGATGGTAGTCCTCCATATGTGTGTGTGTGTGTAACCCAAGGTTACAGAGACTATATCTAATTTGAAACAAGGTAAAAGTAACAGAACGTGATGTTTAAGAGACGGTCTTGGTAACAGATTGCTGTCTAGGCTAACTAAAGTATATTAAGCAACTTATGGAAATGAGAGACCAATGAAATTCATTGATTATCCCAGTGTACAAGAAGGCAGACAAGTTTTCTTGTGATGATCGTGGGCGGATTATCTTGATTAATATGTGATCTCTAAAGTTTTTGGTTCAGGCGTCGGTGGCACAGCAGTTAAGACGCTCGCCGACCATGCACATGGTCCGGGGTTCGATCCCCGGCCAACAGACGCACTCCTTTACCTCGCTAAGCCAGAAATAATGCTGGTAAAGAGGAAAGGTTGGGCATGAGGCTAGCAACCCCATCGTGTAAAAATAAACACTGCTACAGAAGCCACTAGCTTGAAGCCCTATGTTCCACTAGGAACGTGAAGGAAAATAAAACTGTTGAGTTGTGTGAGTGAGTAACCTGATATGATTATGAGCCATAGTTTGTGCTCGAAACGTCATCAGTTAATATTACTGTGTAACACTGTGTGATTTATCAAAATAAAATCTTATCTATCTATAATGGAGTTATACTCTACCACTACAGTGCCTAAGTTTTATACTTCTATCAATAGAGAAGACCAACCAACCAACAGCAACAACAACAAGCACCAATCACTATTAGTGGAAGAAATTTGAAAGAGGTCACTCACACTTCACTTATCCAGAGAGCATCGTTTCAACTACAGGTGACAGACAGAACGGATGAACATCTTTGTCACTGTGAAAAATCAGTTTGGAAATGTGTCATACAGCACCAAAGAATATGAATAGGATTTTCATCACTAGTGTTAAGTCAGTTAATTCAGTTCTATATGAGTCAAAAACGTGACACACGCGTCACAAAAAGCATTACTAACAGACTACAGACGTTTATCAATAGCCACCTTCCCCTCCACATTGAAGGTTAGATAGCTGACCAGAATGATATGGCGCCAAGCAACTCTGCGAGTAAACCAATCAAAAGCATATTGGTCAACAGTTATGTAGTAGAAAATGGAGGTAGATCAGGTACACTCTGTGGCGATCGTCGGATGACATTGCTTGCCAGGCCATTGCTCGATTGGAACATGAATGGAAAAAACAACGAGTTGAACGTTGGTCCGAGGCGGGTGACAATGGTAGAGCTCGTACGAGGAGGGGATGGGAGACTATGAGCCATCTTGGGGACAGATAAAGAAGATCGCAGAGAATAGGATAAAGTGTAGATGTGCTTTTGTGCTGCCCTATGTTCCGCTCATAACCCAAGGGAACAATAATAAGAATACTATTTAATTGAATTTTAGATTTTTCCATCGATTGATTGGACCACGAGCATCACTTCGGTCCAACCAATCGATGGGAAAATCTAAAATTCAATTAAATAATTAATACGACCCGTTGCACAAGAAAGAGGTGGCTCTCGTGGCCCAAGTGGTCTAGTGGTTAACGCTTTGGCGTTTAAAACTATGGGCATTGGGTTCGAACCTCTGTGGGAACATCATCACTCACTGGGGAATGCAGGTACATCCACTAGCTAATGGGTTCCAAATAGGACGGAATGCTCTTTATCCTGGATTCCACTGCTAGCCACCATCCACCAAATTAAGCAATAATAATAATAACAATAATGTATCCTATATATAGTCATGCTGGTAACAACGGAAGGCAGTACATGGAAGCCGAGGTATATTTTTCATTAATCAAGCCAGCGTTTATATATCTACATTTTATATTCGTTAACCAATCAATCACTGAGCGTGTGATTTCGGTTTACATCAAACGACAAGAAATAAAATATTCAAATAGATATATTGTATTCTGTTGCCAATGCAGTACTGAACTGCAGGGACATGTGAGAATAACATTTTGTTGGCGTACATTGTCTGTATCACACCACCACATTATTAGTGATTTGCCAGGCCTGGCTGACAAAGGTCGGGTATACAATGCTTCGGTGCGGGTTGTCTTGCTCTACGCCTGTGAAACCTGGCGTCTTCGGGCTAAGGATGTGCGACAGCTCTGTGTATTCGATCATCACTGTCTCCGCAGGATTGCTTGCGTTCGATGGATGGCATCATCGCGTGAGTAATTCTTAGGTCCGGCGGCGTGTGTTTGAACACAGTGGAGATCACCATTCATTGAGTGTCATCATTTGGAAACACCAGCTCCAGTGGCTTGGACATGTGCTGTGAATGTCATCACAGAGGCTTCCATACAGGTCTTTGTTCGCTATCCCTGGAGCGGGATCGGAAAGGTGGAGAGGTGGTCAGTCCATGCATGACGTGGCGTCGTGGGATGAAGAATGTTTGTACTAGATTAGCATCGGTTGGTGCGTCGTCACGACTCCCTGGTTGGGGTCCGCGCGATAACTCGAATCGATGGCTCGAAACGTTGTCGGATCCGGCCAAGAATCGCAGTCATCAATGACAAACGTGTTGCAATTTCCTTCTTTCTTCTCTTCCCGATGATAGTTGACGAATACTGTTGCAACTTGTTAAGTATGACTGTTTTCCTTCCAGATGAAATTCTTTATCCATTCTCTACTTATAGTTTTTTCTTTTGATCTATGTTTTTTTATTATTATTATTATTGTGTGGCGCATCTTTCTTGGTTACCATATTGTACCAAGTTTTTTATGCATTTAAATAATACACAAACCAGTCAGTCAGTAGCAGTTAGCGTTTCCTTACTTGTGATTCCCATTTACAGTGCCAAAGCAGATCTCATGTTATTTATTTTTTATTTATTTTTTTTTGACTAATTCCGATTTCTAAAGTCTACTGTGGTGAAATGCCATATCAAATATTATGTAGACTGTAAATCAGGGATGCCCATTATCCCCATTCCTATTCAACTTCATCATAGATGTACTGATGGACTTAACCCTAACTTACTTCAGAGACTCAGGGATTGACTTGTTCCTATCAGGGAATTATCTCGTTGACTTAGAATGTGCAGATGATATAGTCCTTCCCCCTAGATGAGGACGCTGACAAAATACAGCAGAGTCTTTTGAACACCCTGAACTGCAATCTACGAATGTTTGGCATGCGATTCGCTCCCGCCAAAAGCAAGATGATGTTACAGTACTGGACCACACTGACTCCTAGTTTAGAAATAGGGAGTGAAAGCTGCTACCTTGACGTGGTGGTCGGGCTTGAACACCGCAATGACCTAATCAAGCTATACTGGCTGAGACTTATGTCTCTTGAGGTTCTACCATGCCAGGCAGGTTGTTTGGATAGCGGTTAAACAAAAAGCAGCTACCTCATCCAATACCATGATCCAAACAAATTCACAAAATTTCATGCCGGATCGGCCGTGGCCCGGATTAACAACGACCGCGCTTCCTGCTGCCGTGTCACAGGGCGGGAGTGATAAGTATGCTACTGAGGCACACCAAACAAAAAAGAACGAACAAAAACAGGCCGCGTGTGACCGGCCTCAAGCAGTTGTCCCCTGGGCTCTGCGGTCACGCAACCAACTTCCACGGTGTGGGCAGCCGGGAAGTAACAATCGCCCTCACAATCCGAAATGCACACAAAACCTCTCTAATCCTCACTTATCTTTGTCTTCATCTTCATCTCTATTACCTTGCCTTCCTCCACTGATGCAACTCCTCTACTTGATGGCTCCTCACTCCCTCTTCACTCTGTGTCCACTAAAAACGACGAAAGCCAAAAAACCACCACGGATAGTCTCCTAAAGCCACGCCACCAATTTCATATAGGAGCATTTAATGTTAGGACACTTTGCCAAATAGGACAACAAGCATCACTAGCTAAGACCCTGGCATCTCGAGCCATTGATGTATGTTGTGTTTCAGAAACACGCATACAAGACCCAAGTGTGGTTATTCACCTAACCCCACCTGGCCAACAGGATGAATCTTCAAAATTCACCTTGAGGGTGTCAGGAGATGCCACAGCTAGTTCACGAGGATTAGCTGGCGTAGGGATAGCTCTGAGTACTAGGGCAGAAAAGACATTGCTTGACTGGATCCCAGTAGATAGCCGAATGTGTGCTGTCCGTCTGAACGGATCAGTAAGAAGGAGAAAGGACTGCACTACTCGCCGATGCCTTTTCGTAATCTCCGCCTACGCCCCCACTGACTGCAGTTCGGATGAAACGAAGGATGAGTTCTACCAAAAGCTGTCTAGTTTGGTGAGAAAGGCTAAACGCTCAGATATAGTCGTTCTAGCTGGTGACTTTAACGCTCAAGTAGGGAAATTGTGTCAATCTGAGAAGGATGTCGGTGGCACCTATGGAGTTCCGTGCCAGCGAACCGACAACGGTGACCGTCTCCTACAGTTCTGTTCAGATAATCATTTGTTTCTTGTAAGCACTAACTTTAAACACAAGGAGAGACACTGTTTAACCTGGCGACCCCCATCATCAAACCAACGCTGGACACAAATAGACCACATAGCAATAAGCTATCGTTGGCGTGGGTCGGTAGGAGATTGTCGCTCCTTCTGGAACACGTGTGTAGATACCGATCACGCACTGGTCCGGGCTCGTGTGTGCTTACGACTGAACGGACGTAGGAAACAGCTGGCGGTAAAACCATCACGTCCCCAGCTCGATCAGGAAACTAAATCCCTATTTGAGGAAGAACTAGCTAAACGCATATCTGAATTCGACAGCTGTGCTCACCCTGGAGAAGCCTGGAAGAATATTCAGTCAGCTATAGATACAGCTGTAAAAGCTGTGAATAAGGCAAATCCAAAGGTGAGTAAAAACCACTGGATTTCGACTGCCTCATCCGAACTGATAGATGCTAGAAGACTTATTCCGGCGAGCTCCGAATTCAATGAGGAGCGAAAGCTGCACAAAAGGAAACTTACTAAAAGTCTCCGCAAGGACCGTGAACAGTGGTGGGTGACAAAGGCGAAAGAGATGGAAAAAGCATTGGCGATAGGCAACACTAGGCAACTCTTTAGACTCATCACAGAATCGGGCGGGAAAAGGCAATTCATAAGTGAGACTATTTCTGAGAAAAATGGCTCCTTAATTAGCTCTCAGGATAGACGCCTTGAACGCTGGAAAGAACACTTTGAGGAACAATTTAACTTGCCTACAGCCACACTGAACCTCCCCGCCATCCACCACGTACCCGAATGGGATATAGACACTGGTCCGCCGTCTGTAGGTGAGGTTACAAAAGCTATCAGTAATTTGAAACGAGGCAAAGCGGCAGGACCCGACGGAATTATTCCGGAGGTGTTTAAATATGGGGGTGACATACTAGTTTGTAGATTAACTGAGGTACTAGGCAAAGTCTGGGAATCAGAGACAGTACCATCAGACTGGGGTAAGTCACTTATTATACCGATATTCAAGAAGGGAAACAAGTCCTCGTGTGATAATCATAGGGGGATCAGCCTAACGAACATAGTCTCTAAAATCCTAGGCTCAGTAATCATGCATAGACTAAGCAGAACTCGGGAGGAACAGACAAGGGAAAATCAAGCAGGCTTTAGACCAGGTAGAGGGTGCATAGATCATATCTTCACTCTTCGACAGATTCTAGAACATAGACACACTTTTCGGCGTCCAACAATTGTCATATTTCTTGACTTGAAGGCGGCCTTCGACTCCGTGGATCGAAAGGTACTATGGCAATGTCTGACTGTGAAGGGAGTGCCAAGAAAGTACATTGCACTAATCAAGGCACTCTATTCAAACTCACGTAGTCGTGTAAGGGCTTATGGGGAATTGTCATCTGAATTGGTAACAACCAGTGGTGTCCGACAGGGATGTCCACTTTCCCCATTTCTGTTTAACTTCATCATAGATATGCTAATGGAAGTATCCTTAACTGAACGTAGTGACTTAGGAATCGACTTGTTACCAGGGAATAATCTTATGGACTTAGAATATGCAGATGACATAGTCCTGTTAGGGGAGGATGCTGACAAAATGCAGAGTCTTCTGAACACCTTGAGCAGCAATCTTCGTATGTTTGGCATGCGATTCGCCCCTGCAAAATGTAAGATGCTGCTACAGGACTGGACGACGTCAACCCCTAACTTAGTGATAGGGAGTGAAGTGATAGAACATGTTGACCACTTCACCTACTTGGGAAGTTGTATTAGCACCAACGGACTGATTGGCGATGAAATCTCAGCACGGATCCGAAAAGCTCGAGCTGCTTTCGCTGACTTACACCATCTCTGGCGTAGGCGTGACATCCGGTTATCAACCAAGGGACGTGTGTACTGCTCATCAGTTCGCTCCGTCCTTCTCTATGGCTCTGAAACATGGCCAATACGCGTTGAAGACATGAAAAGGTTGACTGCTTTCGATCATAGATGTCTGCGATCTCTGTCTCACGTTAGGTGGTTTCACAAGATAAGTAATGTTGACGTTAGGCGTAGAGTGTTGGGCAAAGAGGGAAAATCAATCGACGAGGTTATAAAGTTACATAGACTAAGATGGCTAGGTCACGTGGTGCGCATGCCTAACCACCGCCTCCCCCGACGGGCATTGCTAGCTGATATAGGTTCAGGTTGGAAAAGAGCCAGTGGTGGCCAAACAAAAACATGGCATCAATCCATGAAATCCTTGACAGTTAAACTGAGTCAGGTAGGGAGATGCAGACTCCCGGGTTGGGGCCCTCGGGACTCTAGGAATCAATGGCTGGAGACAATAGGTGACATGGCTCAAAATCGTTGTCAATGGCGCAGATGTATTCAGTCTCTGTAATCTTTCATATTCCTTTCTACCATTACCCATTCTGTTTCACTCTTATATTTGTCAAACTCTATTGATTCTCTTCACTCATCTTCTTGTCTACCTCTGTGTGCTATTTGGAACGTGGCAACTCGAACTGCTGCACTTCGGTGCCAAGTTCTATGTTGAATCCAGACAGACAGACAGGGCGTGAAGTAGTTGATAGAGCACGTTGACAACTTCACTTATTTGGGAAGTACCGTCATCCAGCGCCAACGGGTGCGGATACAGAGGGCTAGCTTCGCATATGCCAGTTTACGCTGTCTCTCGCGTAGACGTGATATCTGGTTCGCTATCAACCAAAGGGTGGGTGTGCTGCTCAGCGGTCCTCTCGGTTCTCCTTTATGGCTGTGAGACCTGGCCATTGAGAGTGGAAGACATGAAAAGGCCAGCTAGCTTTCTTTGATCATAGGTGTCTGCGTCCGATCTCCCGTGTTAAGTGGTATAATAGGGTGAGCAGTATTGAAGTTAAGCATCGGTCGAGTGCTAGGTAAGGAAGGGAAATCAATCGACGGGGCTGTGAAATTACATCAACTGAGATGTTTAGGACATGCATTACTCATGCTTAGCCTATCCATCGCCTTCCTCGACTGACGGGCAATGATGGCTGACATAGGGTCAGCCTGGAAAAGAGCTAGTGGTGGTTGAACCAAAACATGGCTTCATCAGTCAATGAAATCTGCAACAGTTAGTCTAATCTACGTAGGAAGGTGTAGACATCCTGATTGAATGGTTGGGGTCCTCGGGAGGGTAAAAACAAATGGTTGGAAACAATTGGTGACATGGCTCAAAATCGTTCTCAGTGGCGCAGATGCATCCACTTCTATTGACTTATGATTTCCAATGAAACTGTTTTGTTCTTCGTTATTACTCTTCGTTTTTCTCACACCTCTGCTTACTGTCTCTGTTATGCATTTCTTCTACTTTCTTCTCTTGCTTTGTGTGCTACAAGGAGGGAGTGTGGCAACTCTAACTGTCGCACATTGGTGAAAAGTTCTATGTCGAAAACAGACAGACTGTAAATCACCAATTTGATGTGCTAACGAAGAAGAAGATGAAGAATAAACTTGCTCAGAATCATTATCATACTTGTTAATTGCTTTATTGTACTACTGAAATCAGTAGTCTATTCTCACTTCTTTCTTCTTCTTCTCCTCTCATTTAGTCCGAATTGAATCAAGAGAAACACAATTTCAGTGATCAATTGAGTCATTCAGATCAAATTATTAGTGACCATGCTAAATATACAGACAACTTCTCCGGTTTACTCCCTGGTAGAGCTGATTATCATGGTGGTCGTAATCCAAGCGGTGGAGATACTGCTACTACTACTACTACTACTTCAAGCATTTACAGTCGAAATACATTAGCATTAGTGGCAACTAACCAACCGTTGACATTAAGTCGTTTAATCATGTGGACTACAGAGCCACGATTAAGATTAACACTTCTACTTAGTCTATGCAATGTTTGTCATGGATTTAAAGGCGGTGAACTAGCCTCTAAAGTCTACGCGTATACACTTCACGGAGATCCTGATGTACAAAAAATTATGGGACATTTAATGTCAAAAGTTGCCTCAGGTGTATTACACTTTATTAACCAGTGGATTTTTAATGGTTATTTAGACGATGCATATCAAGAATTTTTTGTTCAAGCTAATACGGGGATAAAAATCGATCGATTATGGTATGATAAGTATACACTACGGCTTAATATGCTACCGAAATTTATTACATTGAGTCAAGCGAAAAAGGTAAGTGAGATTGCTTTCTCCTCATTTTCTGTTTTTTTTTATTTCCATTCTGTTGTTGTCTTGATCCACCTCAGAATAGTTTTTTTCTTTTGCTCATTTTTAAGACAATGATCCCAATTTAGATCATTGTCATCATTGAATTGGGACACATCATCACTGTCACTGAGAAATGCAGGTACATCCAGTTAGCTGACGAGTCCCAAATAGGACGAAATGCGCTTTATCCTGGATTCCACTGCTAGCCACCATCCACCAATTGTACATTATCATCATCATCATTCATAGAATCAATGAAACTACGAGGGAGTTGGTGTTGGGTGGTTGTTTCGTCGCCTATTAGGGGATTCTTCTGCAGTAAAAACACCCGTCACCCCCCAAAGGATTGACTGATTGTGAAGTATGAGGAAAAAAAACAGTGGTAATGTGGAATTATGTGCGTCGGTGGCACAGCGGTAGAATCCTCACCAACAACCACGCTTCATGTATGTGGTCCGGGGTTCGATCCCCCGCCAACGGATGCACTCCTTTATCTCACTAAACCAGGGTTTTCTCGACGCTTTGAGCAGCAGCAATGTTCAAATGTTTGGCATGAGATTCCCTCCTGTCGATTTTAAGATGATGATGCTACAGGACTAGATTACATCGATTCTCTTCTAGCTTAAAGATAGGAAGTGTAGTGGTAGAGCGTGTTGACCAGTTCACTTATTTGGGGAGTTGCATCAACCAATATCAAAAGTGTTAATCGCTGACGAGATCTCAATACGGATACGGAAGGCTATTTTCGCATATGCCAGTTTACGCCGTCTTTGGCTTAGTAGACGTGACATACGCCTGGCTATCGACCAAAGGGTGTGTGTACTGCTCAGCAGTTCACTCCATCCTCCTTTATGGCTGTGAGTGAGACATGGTCATTGATAGTGGAAGACATGAAAAGGCCAGCTAACTGTTTTTTTATCATAGATGTCTGCGTTCTATCTCCTGTGTTATGTGGTGGTATAATAGGGTAAGCAGTATTGAGGTTGGGCGTCCAGTGAGTGTCAGGTAAAGAGAGCAGGGAAATCAATCGACGACGTTGTGAAGTTACATCAATTAAGATAGTTGGCGTATGTGTTACTTACGCCTAGCCTAAACATCACCTTCATCAACGGCAATGTCAGCTGACTGTCATAGGATTGGTCAGGCTGGAAAAGAACTAGTAGTGGCTCGATCAGTCAGTGAAATCCACAACAGTTAGTTTAAGCCAGCCACCCAGTCATTTAGGGAGGTGTAGACTTCCTTATTGACTAGTTGGAGTCCTCGAGATGGTGAGAACCAATGAATGCTAGAGACAATTAGTGATATGACTCAAAATCGTTCCCATTGGCTCGTGCAGATTCACTTACTCTCTGTGATTTTGCAGTAGGTGCGGTCTGCTAGCCAAAATTGATAGACAACAATATGCCTAACCTTGAGGGATTCACCAACCAATCAGAGCAGACTTAACGTGGGCCGATACGATTTGCAGATATGCGGTCTGACCTTTAAAGAAACAGCCACAAAGAGATAGTAGAACAGCTTTCAGCAAGAAAACAACCAATCAGAAGACGCTTTTTCTCTACTAGTAATAACGAATAATAATATGTACATAAAAAACCATAAATACCTGTTGATTTCCTCAATATACGATCTGTTGCCTTGCGCTTGTCTTTCGTCGTCACAGTGTGTCACATCCAATGAAACTCTATTGTTCTTCCATAATACTATTCTTTTTCCTTCACACTCCTATTTATTGTCCTATTGTCTTTTGGATCTCTCCCTGTATTCAAACTGTTGTACATCTGTGTAAAGTTCTATGTTAGAACCAGTCACCTAGTCAGTCAGTCATTGCATTAGCATTTAATTGGTGGATGGTGACTAGCAGTGGAATCCAGGATAAAGCGCATTTCGTCCTATTTGGGACTCGTCAGCTAACTGGATGTACCTATATTTCTCAGTGAGAGTGATGATGTTCCCACCGAGGCTCGAACCCAATGTCCAGAGTTTCAATCGCCAAAGTGTTATCATCTACTAGACCACTTGGACCACGAGAGCCACCTCTTTCTTGTGCAACAGGTCGAAGCATCTGCACAAGAAGCCGACAGACATGTCAACCTGAGACCGAGCACTCCGGTCCAATCAATCGACGGGAAAATCAAAACAAAAAATTCAATTAAATAGTCAGTCATTCCATCTATAGTCTCATATCACCTGGTTTTTTCAAAGGGTTTTATGACGTATTTTGAAAATAATTGTCTGGTTGTGAGCATAAGCAATGGTGTATTTTTCTGTCTTTATATATTTCGTGTTTGCTAAGAGAAAAAATGCAAAGGGAGATGATATCATTTTGATTTCTACATACACTTATTCCCCCTCCCCCTCCACGCCTTGATATAAACTTGAACAAAAAAGAAAGCAAGAAGAAGAAGAAGCACACATTGTGAGTGAGCAGGTTAAGATGACGTCATTCATTAGAGTTTTTCTCGCTCTCTCTTTCTGTCTGTGTATTTCTTTTTGGTTCTTAGTAGATGCATACAACCTACCCATAAATAGTTCACTAATATATATATAGAAAATATTCAGATACTGGAGTTATTGATTATATGAAGTGCATGTTATTAATATCACATGACTAAGTAGCGTAGTAGTGGAAAAGGCATAAAAGCTGTTATTGAGCTCTCTAGGATTACCAACGAAACGAATGTTGCAAATGAAACAGAAGTGTAACCTCTACAATCTACACTTACGTTAAGGGGGTGGATGGGCAATAGCTCAGTGGTGGTAACATCTCTAACTGCAGCAGGGCAGCATTGGATGACACGGGTTCGATCTCAGAAGGGATATACATGAGTTTCTTTAAGCAAGGTTGCAGATACGCCTACCTTGCTGACTGACTGACTGGTGAGGGCCGACTAGCATGAAACCTAGCTCGCGGTAAGGCTTCCTGTGACCGATTGCCTCCAACCAACTCTAATATCATTAGGTCAATCATTTAGTTGAACAGAAGACGAATATACATTCAAACAAAATGAAGGGCAGGGAACTTCAAAGTTGAAGCTTGAAGCCAGTCCTGTGTTTCACACGGGACGCAATATACTCCTTCAGATTGAAAGATGATTTGTGCGGATTTAGGATGAATTGCAACTGTTAACATATTGTGCGTCAGTGGCTTAGTGGTAGAAAACTGGCAAAACTACGCAGGTGGTCCGAGGTTCGATTCCCGGCCGACACACTCCTAAACCTTCGTTAACCGGTATTAAACGCGTAGAGAGAAAAGGTTGGCCGTCGGGCGAGCAACCTCATCCCGTAACTTCGTAGCGCTAACGTGAAGTCATATGTTCCGCTGGGGACGAAAATGAATATAAAGCTAGCTGTAGTTAGATTTTCGTCATAAATCGACATCAATTTAGAGAGACCAGTGAGAACCAGGGAGTGAATCGGGGTGGAAAAGATTTGTAGTTGAGGTGGATAATTTTGATTAAATTGTGTTCTCTGAGCTAGCTGGTTGATTTTGATTGCGAAGGTTTCGTCATCCCCTCTTACAGAAAACATCTTCAGTGCAGGCTTTAGCACAAAATGAATGATGTAGTTGTATCTTCTGGTTGTTAATTTACGTCTCTCTGTTGATCATACTCTTACTGACTTGGAATTTGAACCTTCATGTCGTGTGATTTACTTTTTATTAGACGGTAAATTTGGTCTACAGTAATGTGTATGTTAATTGCTGTTTCGCTTGAGCACTAGGCTTCTAGAAATTCCCTGGCATTACTGTCTGGTGTCAAATTCGTGTCCTTGATTATCTAAATGCAGCGATATATATTGTTCCTCTTTTTTACAGCGAATTTGTGCTCTTGGATTCTGATTCGAAGGGGGGGGGGGTGCCAACTCTGACCGATGTAATGTTAATTGCAATTCATACATTTGTTTTATATGTTTTATTTTCTTTCATTCGCTGTTGAGTCTTTTGGTTGGCACAGGGCTGGCTGGCTGGCTGAGTGAAGTGATTTTTATTGGTTTGTGCTCTACATCAATTCTTAAAGGTTTGAAGGGTCTTAAAGTGATTGAAGGAGATTGGTTGTTTTTGTGTGTTTTCACAGGGATCCCCAAGGAAAGCACAACGAAAAATCACCCTACTATATACATATATATAAAGGATATCTCAAAAATCACTGCAACACTCTTCAAACCTTTAGGAATTGATGTAGCACACAAACCAGCAAAATCACTTTACTCATATGGCTCTGTGTCAGTCAAAAGCCTTAACAATGAAAGAAGATAAAACCAAACATCATCTAAAAAAATAAATTGCAACACAACTGCGAAAAACACTACATTGGCTTAAGTGGACGTTCCCTTCGCCTTCGTATCCATGATCATAAGGTAACCGCCAAAAGATATGACATCCACTCCCTCATATCACTCACTGCGCATACAGACAACCACGGACATCAATTCGACTGGAACAACCAACGTTCAAATATTAGACAGAGGAAACACCAAGAAATCTTCAAAAAGAATGGATATTCACAAAATTTCATCAAAGTGTTTAAAATCGAATCACAACACCAACACGAAACCATCATCAAAAAAAACACAAGAAAATTCATCCTACCATATATAAAAAGTATCTCTGTAATAACAGCTAGAATATTAAGACCGTCTGAAATAGATATAGCGCACATGCCAGTCCAATCACTTAATTCGATATTGTACAAACTGAAAGATCCAACAGAAAAAGGAAATAAAATTAATACCATTTACAAAATAAATAGTATAAACTGTAACAGAGATTACATCGGCCTAAGTGGGTGTCCCCTTCGAATCAGAATCCAAGAACACTAATCAACCGTGAAAAGACAGGATACATATTCTTTCATATTAATGCATATAGACAATTATGGACATCAGTTTGATAACTGGGATAATGTCGAAATCTTAGACAGAGGAAATACCAAAAAAACAGTGCCAGGGAATTCCTAGAAGCCTGGTACTCAAGTGAATCAGTCAGCGGTTAACAAACATGTTAATATAGACCAAATCTACCAACGAATAAAAAGTAGATCATGTGGCCAGAAAGTTTAAAACCCCAAGTCAACAGAAAAATGATCAATGCAGATGTAATGATGGTTACCAGGAGACGTAATTCTGTCGCTTATGAAAACTTTAGATCATCAATCACTTTATACTAAAACTTGCGCTGAAGGGGGGGGATGTTGTCTAGATGGGGGACGATGAAAGCTCTGTAACTAAACCAACACCAGCTTAGAGAACACTATTAATTGCAAATCATCCACCTGAGCTACAAATCTTCTCTCTATTATTTCGAAACCGTATTTTTATATCCTCCCCACTTACCCATCTATCCGTCTTAGATTTTGCTTCCTTGTTTTCTTTGTGTGTATGTGTGCATGGGTGAGTTACTTGGTTACTCAGTACTGTTTATTCTCTTACTTTTTTCTTTTCTTTTTGCGTCACCTTCTTGTGATGATTATCTTCATAGATTCTTGTCACTGGAAAATCGGTCAGCTTTTTAGTTCATGTTTGTGGAGAGAAAGATGGCATTAAAAAGCATGAGGCTATTCGTCGGACACGCCTTACAAATGGTATGTTTATTATTGTATTCAGATGCGATTTTGCATTTTGTTTATTTATGCAAACGCATTATTATTATTATTATTATTATTATTATTATCGTTCTCTTGGGTTCCTAGTGGAACACAGGGCTTCAACTGCGCGTCTCCACTTGCCACTTCTGTCTTCTGATGTGCTTTTCACCTGCATCCATGTTAGTTAGTCCATACTCTGTTTCAACTCCTCTTCACACGATCTCCTCCATGTCACCCTTGCACTGGCGTTCTAATCGCCACTTCCCTTTCGGGTTCCACTCGAGCAATGGCCTGACGCATGCGCGATGTCACCCAGCGGCCTCCTCAGCCGCGAGTGTCCAATCCATCTCCACTTTCTCTTGCATATTTGTTGGTTGGGCGATTAGTTCTTGTTTTGTTTGTTTGTTTGTTCCCATAGTTTCTTGTTGGTGATTCTTTCCAGCCCGGCCATCTGATCTTCAGTATAGAGGGAAGACAGTTGTTAATAAAGGTCTGCATCCTTTTGGAAATATTCTTTGTGACCCGCCCGCCAAGTTTCTGATCCGTATTGAAGAACTGACTATTGTGTTGAAATGCGATTTCGAATTTTCTGTATTTATGCAAACGCATACACGCGTATATTATATATATATATATATATTTTCAAGTATTGGTTTTGTAGAGATTTTGTTCGATTGCATGGAGGATTTCATCATGTGCTGACATCATTTAGAGAAGCACTGGAAAACCGGAGTCTCAGTGGCTCAATTGTCTACGAGCTCGCCTTGTAACCAGAAGGTCCTGGGTTCGAATTCCGGTGAGTGAGTACTTATGAAGAGTCCCAAACTAGGACGAAACAGCTGTCTAGTACTCCATGGTAGGTTTTCCAGTGGTTCTCTAACTGATGTCAGCTCATGATGCAATCCTCCATATATATATATTATAATGGCGTATATTACTCAAACTGTTGACATTCTTCCGTGCTTACTATCTACAAGTGGACTGGTTCTAATAGAAGAATACACTGCATCTTCCATTCTCTCCTAATAACTTTGTTTTACATATATAAAAATAATTCTAGAATATTCGCTAATTATATGCGTGCTCCTGGTTCGACCCCTGGCTGGGGTACTCTCAAAACCTCACCTACTGTTACTAGTCGATAGATAGTAAGGCATAGAAAAGAGGAGTGGCTGGATATATATATGAGGTCAGCAAATTTACTCCACTGCAAAAATAAAACCAATACTACCACTGCAACTTTAAAAGTTTGAAGTCATCCTATGTTCACCTCTGAAAGTAAGGAATGTGAATAGACGTTACTACCTCTTTCACTTACGAGGCTAGGCAGAAACGTTTCAACTACAGGTGAAATAGATGTAAGCGTATCCGGAAACCATCCAGGATCGCGAAAAAACAAGAATGATCTTTATTGACCCTGAAATCAGTATGGTAATTTGTTGTAATCAGCGAAGAGAACTGAGATTTGGATTTTCAACTGAGATTTTCATGAAAAGCATTTCCAACAGTCTGCTGCGGATATTTCATCGACATCTGCATTCGCTTCTTACTGAAGATCAGATGGCTGGTTAGAGAAAATTGGCAATTGTGGAGGGAGAGTGATATAGCTTGTAAGCAGTCGTGAAAACAACCAGAAAAGACTGAAACGAGGGGAGTTGTAATGGAGATAGGCGTGCTTCTGAAGTCTTATGTTCCACTGGAAACTCAAGGCAATAATAATTTTAAAAAAATAATATTGCCCACCTTACGTCGGTGGGGCACAGTGGTTAGGACGCACATGGTCCGGGGTTTGATCCCCGTCCGACGGACGCACTCCTTTACCTCCCTAAGCCAATAATAAGACTGGTAAAGAGGAAACGTTGGGTATGAGGCTAGAAACTCCATCCTGTAAAAATAAACATCACTGCTACAGAAACTTCAAGCTTCTAGCTTGAAGCCTCCTGTGTTCTACTAGGAACGTAAAGGAATAAAAACCTTCACCGTCAGGGTGTTTCCCTTTTCCCCGCCTTAAATGAGTACAAAATGCAACAGGTTGTTAACAATTCTCTACGCTGTGGTCTAGGAAATTTCGTATTTTTCTGTACAGTAGTTGTGTTTTAAGTTACCTGTTTGTTCTTGGTTATATTAGTCGGATGGGGGTGGCATCAGTTCCTCCGAGGTTGCGCAGATATACACCTTGCTGATGAGTGTTAACAAACACGAAACCTAGATACAAGGCTGTGCGCCCACTCTCTCCAACCATCTAACATCAATTCAAAGATGTGGAAGCACTTATCAAAGCTGATCCATTTTATATCTGTCTTCTTAGAGTTGTCAACATCCAATGTCGTCAGCGTGTAAGTAATTCTCAGGTTCAATGACTCCTCATGTTTGAATAGTGCTGGGAACTGTTTTTCACAATAAGTGACAACATCATATTGTGGGACACAACTTCTGTGGGGTTTTCTTTTGACTGATGCTATGAATATCATCACTTCTGCAGCTTTTCACACCCTTCACTATTTGCCATCTTGGGACTTGTAGGCGAATAGGAGTCACGATGCTTTTGAATGATAGTTGTGTCGTGCTGGAATATATATTGGTGCATCTCAATTCCCTGAGCACAGCCTCTGAAGAATCAGACGACCTATTACCTCGGCACGTTATCACCCATTGACTCAAAATGAAAGACCAATCAGATATGGGACAAATTTGCCCTCGAAAAATGTTTTACACAATGCAAGATGTAAGAAGGGATAACTAATTGTAAGTTAGAAAGGAGACAGAAGTTAGCATGACGTAATAAGTGTGGGAGATAATGACTAATTAATAAGCTAGCGTAGAATGGACAGAAACTAGTGGAAAGGCTATAAAATGTTTTTTACATAAAATCTGTATGAAAAAGCAATATTATTATGATAAACAGTAATAGAGAGGTAATAAAATATGGATGACGGGAATAATAATGATAGTAAACTTACATAATAACGTACGCATACGCCGTTTGCACATAACTAAATCCTTAACAGCCAAGGATTCAGATATGTACTACAGATGGCGTACGTGAAGTCCCTTTGTACGATAATGAGGGACTCTGTGTAGCACTGTGAAGCATGCATACAGGTGGGGGGGTGGGAGGGTTGCTCGATGTGCGAAGATGACAAGGTGTTCGAGGATAGAGCTGTTGCTATTCTTCTTTTCTCTTCTAGCTGGCTAACCAAGCTGGACGACAGTGTTCTAGAATACGTTTGTGGACTTGGCATTGTGTACGGTCGATATACTTTGCTCTACACGAGCAAGTTAAGTGATAAATACACACTGAAGTAGCCAAAATCAGTATCTTATCCTCAACGTTACCACATTCTATTCCTGTTTTATCAATAATATTGCTTTTTCATACAGATTTTATATAAAAACATTTTATTGATTAGTCATTATCTCCCACACTTTTTACGTCATGTCAACTTCTGCCTCTTTTCAAAATGAATGTCACTAGTATGAGTGTCCTGTAGTTTCCTCATTCAACTCTACTACTCACGAGTCATTGTGACGTAACGAAAAAAAACGCCTTTAAATGTTTATAATTCGTGTAGTAATTTTGTGTAGCACATTTGCTTGTCCCCCTATGCTCTTTAACTACAACACGTTTTATCGCTTTTATTCATTCGCATCTGATTGCATCTTGTCGTTTATGTAATCTAGCCCAACCAATGTATGAACAAGATTTGGATCCTTCCTTCAATCAAATGTTATGTACTGTATATAAACTAACGAGTCAATATTTAGTAGAAACATTAATAAAACGTTATCATTTCTTGGATCATTTAAGGGTGAGTCGTTTTTAAAAAAATTATTATTATTATTATTATTATTATTATTATTATTATTATTACGATATCCTTTAATTCCTAGAGGAACATAGGGCTTCCGCCACGCACGTCTCCATTGTCTTAGGTTTTCTGCCAGCTTTTTCACTCCTCTCCAAGTCTGTCCACATGCTTTCATCTCCTCTTCACATGACCTCCTCCAAGTCACCCTCGCAATGATGATCAACTCGCCGCTTCCCTTTCGTCGGGTTCCACTCGAGCAGTGGCTTGTCTAGTGATTTCACTCGATGGTTTCCTCAGAGTATGGCCAATCCACCTTCATTTCTTTCTGCTTATTTGTTGCACAATCGGTTGGTGGTTTGTTTGCTCCCAGAGATTCCTGTTTCTGATCTTTTCTGGCCATCCATCTGATCTTGAGTATTAAGCGAAGACAACTGTTAATGATAGTCTGTAGTTTGTTTGAGATACTCTTCATGACGCGCCGAGTCTCTGATCCGTATATTAATTAGCACTGACTTCACATTGGAGTTGAGAATCCGGATCTTATTTTTCATACTGAGTAATGCTGTTGACCTCCACACTGACTTGAGGGTTAATAAAGCTTGCTCTGCTTTCTCAATCCTCGCTTTGATGATATCCTCATCAGTTCCGTCCGCCTGTAGTTGAAACGATGCTTCCCAGGTAGGTAGGTGGGTAGGTAAAGGAGGTTGTTTCTTCCAGGTTCCTCCCATTTATGCTGGCTGATTGTTGTCTGTTGGTGTTGGCCAGGAATCTTCATCACTTCTGTTTGATTGATTTTATCATATTATTTATGTACAGATTATGAGGATTTTTGTGTGGAGAGATATCGATTTATCTCAGTGTAGATTTCATCACGAACCAACATTAGTTAGAAGAAATCAAGTAGCACAGTGGACAGATGTTTCGTTCCAGTTTGGGACTGTTCATCAGTGTGCACTCATGACAACAACTGCACCGTATTGCTAACTGAAAGAAGTTAGAGTTCACGAGTTATTGAATTCCGACCTGGCAATTGAGTGGTCGATTAGAGGACCTCGTGACCTAAAGGTCCTGGGTTCGATCTCTGTTCGAGTCATAGGAGGTATCCAGGGGATTCCTGCATTTTAATGATTTTCTTATTAATGTTGGTTCGGGACGGGGTTTGCATTGAAGTTCAATGTCTAGGTGTTGTGTTGCATTATACCAGTTCAGTCTTGATTTCTTTCAATTTTTTTAAGTTAAATTTGACTAGGTATGCTGTGTAATGTTGTATGTATTGTAAGTACTACATGTTGAATTCTGACGGTTAACAACTGATGTCCTCTCTGCGGATAAGAGATTTGATCTTGTTTCCTAGTTGGTAACATTGTTGTGTTTGAAACAATGGTTTCGGAGTTTCGAGTGTCAATGAGAAACATGGCATCAATCCCTGGACTGATGAGACGTAAATGGAGCGAAACCCGTTCTTTTGAATTCTACTATTATTATAACAGCCCTGTTTAGATATGATAGAGAAGATTTGTAGCTCAGGTGGGTGATTTTGATGTGGTTTTGTTCTCTGAGCTGGATGTTTAGTTTGCGAAGCTTTCATCACCTTACTGGGTGACATCTTCAGCGCATACTTCAAATTGAAGTATGCGCTGAAGATGTCACCCAGTAAGGTGATGAAAGCTTCGCAAACTAAACATCCAGCTCAGAGAACAAAACCACATCAAAAACAGCCCTGTTTAGCTGGTTTCAGGATTGCCTGTAAACTCTCATCTTCCACTTACACGATTTCTTGACGTCACTTTTGGACATATGCACAACCCGATGTTTCGCATTCGGGTTCCACTTGAGTGCCTGACGCATAATGTCCTATCCGTCTCCATTTCCTTCAGCTTATATGCTGGGCTCTGAGTTCTCGGTTGGTTCGTCTTTTTTTCAAAACTCTTAATAATGTAACCGACTACCTCATTCTGGACATATGTTACTCTTAGTTCCAATCGTAATTACTTCTTGTCATCAAAAACAGACTAGTTTGCGACTCTTCAGCAGTACGCACCCACGTCACGGGGTTCGAACCCAGGACCTTCTAGTTACAAGGCTAGCGAGCTCATAGACCATTAAGCCACCCGCCAATCCAATGGCCCATGAATCCTAACTTCTGCCGATTCATGACATAGCGCGACCACTAGCCAATGTCTTCGTTGAGTATTTCTCCTCACATCCGACCTACTGCACCCTACTGGTCACGACTTCCCAGTGGAACCCCTGGGGTAACTACCTACCTCATACCAATGTCAGCTCATGATGAAATCCTGTAACCAATCAGCCAAATCCCTACAAACCAATACTTGAATAAATGTATGTTGAGATGCTTAGGACATATGTTACGCATGCCTAGTCTAACCATTGCCTACCTCGACGGGCAATGTTAGATGATATAAGATCAGGTTGGAAAAGAGCTAGTGGTGGTAGTCAAACCAAAACAGGCCTTCATCAGTCAATAAAATCCATAACAGTTAGTTTGAGCTAGCCAGCTACTTAGGGGTGTGTAGACTTCCTGGTTGAATGGTTGAGGTTCTCAGGATTGTGAAACCCAATAAAGGCTGGTGACGATTAGTGATATGGCTCAAAATCGTAGACGCATCCACTGCTTGTGACTTATAGTATCCAATGAAAGTGTATTGTTCTACCATTTTACTATTCTTTTTTCCTCATATCTCTGTTTTGAATCCCTTTTCACTTTCTTCTCTTGCTTAGTGTACTAAGTGAAGTGTGGCAACTCGAGCTGCTTCACATCAGAGCACTCTGTGATAACTGAAGAGTGACTCAATGACTAAAATCCTTGCAAACTGACACTTAAATACCAATCTTATGCTCACTAGTGATTGGCCTTATTCAGGTAGATAGTTACCCAGATTCTAGTGGGAACTCGTGACCAGTAGTGGGGTACAGCGGGTCGAATGTGAAGACAGATACTAGCCAGCGATGACCTTGGCTGTTGCAAGTCGTAATATATCGTACGTGAATAGGAAGAAGGTAGAATTCATGAGCGGGTCATTGGAACAGATACCAGTGCCTTAATGGTCTACGAAACCTCCTTGTAACCTGAATGTCCTGGGTTCGAACTGTGGCGATGAGTGCGTACTTCGGAAGATTACCAAACTCGCCTGAGGAACACAGCTGTCTGCTAGTACTCCCTGATGGTTTTCCAATAGTTCTTCTCTAACTGATATCGCCTCATAATGAAATCCTATAACTAATATCTTAACAAATTGAAAGTTATTCACATTCACCCCACCCACCCTTTTTTTTCATCTATCTATCTATTATATATAGGCTACGAGACAATTCCTCCTTTTGGGACAAGGTGATTTTATTCAACATCTTATGGATTTACTAGAGTAAGTGCACATCTGGATATTTCTATAATAGATAAAAAAAGTAAATGTTTCTTTTTCTTTAATTGTATTGAATTATTGACTGCCTATTAGTAATTCTTTTTCGCCTCTCTTTCTTGTTCTCTGAATAAACTAGGCCTTAATGTTGTAGTCACGTGTGTATTAGAGCTAAAATGTGTATTATGGCTATGGAATGCATAGCTATTTTTCATTTCATTTCTAACTAACTAGTACATTGGTTCACCAATCAACATTCCAAATCGGACTTCAAAGGTATATTTATATTAGAGGATTCTAGTTCTGCAGTTGAATTATGTAATTCCACTCTATAGAGGGATTCTAGTGCGTCGGTGGTGCAGCTTCGTGGCCTAGTATTCGATTCTCAACCGACGCATTCCTAAACCCCGCCCAATAAAGAGGGAAGGTTGGGTATGAGTCCGTCTACTCCACCCTGGAAAAATGAAACCACTATGATATTATTACCGTTAATACACTTGGTGGTTTGTGCTAACGAACTTTCTACCTAGTCAATTTGTGTGCCTAATATTCTAATCACTATTAGCAACAACAACAACGAAACGATACGATACCACTAAACTTGACATAGACAGATTTTACCGTCTTGAATTAATTGTGAAAACGGTTGACAAAAATTTTACGTATATATGTATGCTTCAAATAGCCTTGAAAGACACCAATTATGGTGATAAGTTAAAACAGTCAATAACCAATAGAGTTCCAAGGTCATAAGTAGGCGGAGAATAAAAACAGCACTGTAGTGTAGTACTGTAGAAAACTGAAACTTCAAAGCTTAAAGCTTGAAGCCCTATGTTTTACACGGAACGCGAATAAGTAAAATAAAATAAGGCAAAGTTAAACTATAAGCACCACTAACTACCACCAATCAGCGAATGACCTCGAACGCATCAGTCACATGAGAGAGGCTGATAATACTACTCAGTTGTCTAGGTTAAGTTACAGTGAATCACAATTGGAACTTGAGGGTGTATCGATGGGTACTCAGATTATCAAGCCAATGATAATCAGGAGGGCTTCGAGTGCTTTCGGAAGTGTGTGGTCAGTTGTTACTTTTTGGCTGCCCACACCGTACAAGTTGATTTTTTTTTTCTTGGTCTACCTGAAAAAGAAAGAGAATTTGTGTTGCGTGACCGCAGAGTCAAAGGGACAACTGTCTAAGGCCAGTCACATGCGACCTGTATGAACTGGTTTCTTGGTTTGGTTCCGTATTAGTAAACTTACCGGTGGCTACGAACCACCTTAGAGGTAAGGCGGGATGTACAATTTTTGTGGTTGATCTTTTCTAACCCCCTATCCTTCTGCAGAGTGGAGAGACAACAGAGCTAGCTGCCATGCTGACCACATCACTGCTGTTAAGTCCCTGTTACCCAGCAGCACGACTTTGAGCACTGACCCCCAGCATAGCGTAAAAACAACACAATACACTATGCCGGTAACTGCTCTTAGTCTAGTCGCTATCCTGGCAATCTTCCTGGCATGGTGGGACCTTTAGGAGCATTTGCTCTAGCCAGTGTAGTTTGTTGGGTCACTGCAATAAGCAAGCTCGACCCCTACTTGAAGGTGTGGCAGCTATCGATCGGGAAGCCTATGTATAAGCTATATCTCTACAATCATATGAATAGTAACAAGTTATGTGAAATAAAATGTTTCCAGCTTAGTTAGCGTTACAATGCGTATGGTTAGCAGAAAGTATAAGAAATACACATGATTAGTCCTAGGTATAGTGGGCGTGTACAAAAGAATAGATAAATTGATCAGTCACGTGACAGTTTAGATTTTAGCCATAGATAACATAATCAAGGTGACATTTGATTGATGATAATGTGTAGTGTCATGCTTATAATCGATAATTATATTCTATACATATTAGTTGGTCTAGTTTAGAAGCCTGCACTTGATTTGTGGACTTGGCAATCAGGATATGAAGGTGGTATATTAAACTTGGAATAGTAATAAAGTTTGGCTTGAATTCATGTGAATAATCAAGGCGCCTCGTCTATCCTTAGAAGTTTGAAACACGAAGACCTTGGAACAAGTTAGTATGAATTCGATAAATGATAATATATACATAATCACTTAATTTCTGTCAGCTGATGTATACTGCTCAATATTGGGACAACACACCATAGATGTTGAATCAGTTGTGTTCTCTGTGCTGACTGGTTGATTTAATTGCAAAGTTGTCGTCATCCTCCTTTTGGATAACATCCTCAGCACAGATTTTAGTATGAAATGAACTCATTTAAATTCTCCATGAATGAATGGCGATATCATTGTATCTCTTGGCAACCAACTGTTGTAACTGACTGTTAATATATATTATTATATATTCTAACAGCAAAGCGGAGGTCTTCGTCTACGTGGCGAATCTCCAAGGTTTAAACTGACCACAATGCATACCTGGAACTCAGGAATATCGATGCAATGCACACTAGGCGGGGTAGACAGGTCATTTCAGGTAAATCTTGCCAGAAAACTGGCAGACCGCATAAACATGTATCGATTCTTATCGCAGAGATAACCTACCAACCTGTGCTTATTAAATTTGACATCCAGTCAGTTGTAAAAATGTAATCTCCACCTGAACACACCATCTAGTCAAAAGACTTTTTACTTCGAGTTCGTTTATTGGTACTTATATATTAGGTAGAGTACTGATCACGGTTACGCCAGGAAAGCAACTTTTGTGGGGTGCTGATGTTAAGAACTATCTACAGGTTGACTTTAACACCTACAAGCTTTCAGAAAACAGTTGAACAACAAAGTGGGTATAACCTGTAGTAAGTACTGTAGTGAGACTTGGCTGTTAGTCAAAATTGATGGGCAGTAAGTAATTTACATCAGTGTGTATTGCCCCCAATATTGGTCGTGAGAGAAATGAGAGCAAAGGCTTTGCGTAGGCGGATACAGTTAACATAATAATATTATCTACTTGAGCTAGAAATCTTCATTTATACCTTAGGTGTGTGTTTCTAAACTTTTTTTTTCCTTTTTCAATTTTTCTTTACCTTTTTTCAGTTCCAGTTTGAATAAGCCAAGTTCACAAATAATCTTCAGTCGGTTAAGTAGTATACTGGAGACAGCTATACGCGATACAAATGCACAATATGAACAACCAGAAATATTACAACGTTTAGATGTTCGACTACTGGATATCTCATCACGTTAGTTGGTTTACAAAAAGCAACAACTTTTTTTTCCTTGTTTTCTCTTTCCTTTTCGTTGTTACCGTCTACTCTACTCATGTGTTTATCTTCTATTAAAGTTGTTGGATTTTACCATAAACAACTATCATCAGTTAGACAGGCATTTGAAGAAAAACAGGAAGTTTTGGAAAGCTGGTTTTCGTCCTACTTTTCGATACTTCATCAGTGGTACACTCATGACTCCATCAGGGATCGAACGCGGTCTTCCTAACTGATGTTAATTCCTGAAAGAAATTTAATACTTTTCAAAAGAATGGATACTGAACACAGAGTACTCTTTTCGATAACCCCTTCATCATCAGGCTCTACAGTTATGCATATACGTTATAGTGAATGAATGAATGAATTAGTGTTATGAACAACAACATTAATGTCATTGTTTAAATAACATTGAATCAATAATATTGATAGATTACAGCTCAGTAGCATCAACATAAAATAAGCTGAATGCCAGGACAGTATTAAAGGCTGGCTGGACTTGCTTCTTTTGAACACAGAGCACTGGTTGTTTCAGGTGAATTGCAATAGCTTCTGCTGTTTGAAGCTTGCGGTGCTTCGATGTTTTTGGCAGTTTATTTGGCACCCAATAGATGATAGAGAAGGATTCTTCAATACTGGCTGGCTTTTTGGCCGGTTTGCACCAGATGGTCTAATATCGAAATGTTGATGGTTTTCACTACACCTTTACTTAGTCATAGTGGGAGGTGTTCCCTAGAGAGCACGAAAAATCAAGTTCCTAGAGCAACGGCCAATATAACTCGCTCCACTACAAGCGCAGTTAAAATTGGTAGATACAATTAGAAGTGCCTAGCAAGTCTAGGTACTTTATCTTTCAGTCGAGGTAGCACCGTCGGTCGTACAGAGAATAGGACATGTAGTTCACCAGCATTAAAAGTTCTTTGAACTAGATTTCTTAATTTCTTTGTAATTATTTAACTTGGTATATCGCCCTTGAATTGCAGTCGTATATAATGTGACTTCTTGTTTACAGATAGTGAGTAATAACTGAGGGTCTTCCCTAAATTTCTTTTGTACTTGATAGGAACGCAGCTGTGAAAATGTGTGCATATTGTCCTGTCGAAGTACTTTTTCTATGCAAATTTCTTTTTATGCTACCATCTGGTTTTCTTGTAAGGAGGACATTAAGGTTTTGGGATTCCTCTTCGCACGTGAATTTCATAGCCGAATGTACTTCATTGAATTCAGTTATTGTTGTGTTCCTATCTGAATCATCATCACAAAGAATGAAGGTGTCATCCATATACCGCCAATAAAATGAAAACTTTCTGATAGGGTTGTTCAAAGGTCCATTTTCTAGTTTACTTAGAAAGAAATCTGCAAAAATGGGACTCAATGGGGATCTCATTGACACTCCGTCCACTTCCCTGTAAAATGTTCCGCCAATTTGAATCTTACATTCATGGTATACCTTAATAACAATCGATTTAGGATTTCCGTTGGAATGCCAATATTTATCGACCGATTATACACTTTTTCATATATGTAGTTAACTGTTTATACTAGAGGTGCATTTGTGAATAGAGATGTTATGTCCAGAAATATCATGGTTTTGTCCTTGATATCAGTATATTCGATTTTGTCTACGAATTCAAATACATCTTTGACGCGCTATATTTCACTCTATCGTCTCATGCAAAGGTTCGAGAATATTAACTAACCATCTAGCTAGAACATGGTAGTGATAAGCCGTCACCAGTGACGACGTCCAAGATATCAAGCAAGATGCTTATTCAAGGCGCGCTAGCTCTATATCACGAGTTGACAAAGTTACTATTAAGCCCCAGGTAGCTGAGTGAGTGGTCAACAAGCTTGGTCTCATAACTTGAATATTCTAGGTTCAATCAATCGTGGGGGCATGGCTGCTCACTGACGAGGAATCCCCGAAATTGGAAGAAACAGTCATTTAGTGCTCTCTAAAGTTTCAGTGATCTTCTTAACTGATGTTGGTTTGTGATGAAATTTAACAAACATAAATGATTTGTCCCTTGGAGTCCTGTCAAAACAAGGGTGTATTTCTGATGAGCTTGTCTTTATAAACGAGCTGTACCTTTCAATGTTTTATCTTAACCCGTTTAATCAAATTTTATTAACCAATGAAACTGAAATTATGCCGTATATATATATATATATAAACAAGTTTTGGGCCGCTTATTTGAATTCATTGAAGCTTTAGTCATAAAAGGGTTTAATCCTGTCTTACTCAGAGTTAGCCTTTGTAATCCAGTTTTAGAACCAAGGTTCAACTTATTTAATGATACTTTCACGCTATTTTTTCTGTTTTTTACCTCATGTTAATATATGTGTAAAACTTGGGCACTGTGGTATTAAGTAATTCCATATTAGTTTGATTATTAAATGTATCACACAGTGAAACAGTATTGTATACTGGATGACGTTTCGAACACAATTTATTGTTCATAATCATATCAATTTTTTTTGATATGATTATGAACAATAAATTGTGTTCGAAACGTCATCCAGTATACAATACTGTTTCACTGTGTGATACATTTAATAATCAAACTAATATGTTTTTTACCTCATATTTTACCGTGATTTCCTCACCTCTTATCTCTGACCTTGACCTGCACACAATTTGACCTATGTGGTATTGATTTATGCTCTGTTCCCTTCTGTATTAATGTGCATGCAAGAACGTGTGTGTGTGTGTGTGTGTGTGGGCGCGTGTGCGTGATCAGACTGTCCCAAATGTGTTACTCAAATACACATTACACATGTGTCTGTGAAATCACTTCTTCTCATTGTGTTGTCAAAATTCAAGAAGGGAACTGGCCAAGTTAAACTTTTTTTTTCCTTCACGTTCCCCAGTGGAACATATGCGGCTTCAAGCTAGTGGCTTGAAGTTTCTGTAGCAGTGCTTTTATTTTACAGGATGGGGTTGCTAACCAGCCTCATACCCAACTTTTCCTCTTTACCAACATTATTTCTGGCTTAGCGATGTAAAGGAGGAGTGTGTCGGTGGCCGGGGATCAAACCCCGGACCATGTGCATGGTCGGCGAGCGTCCTAACCGCTGTGCCACTGACGTAGAAAACATTATCAGAGCGGGGCGCATGCATATAACTAGCACACAGCCTTCTTCAAACCTTGCACACAACCATTAGGTCGCATACTATCCCATCGCCCTTGGCAGATCTGGTGACAAAAGTTACGAGAACACCATCAGAGCATATGACAGATTAGGTTCCCCGATATTTTTGTATACAGAGTTCAAATTTCGAAATATCCAGTGCTATAACCTCTAATACAGTTTTAAAGATGTTTTTGTCAGGGGACGCGGATGCTATTCTGCGTGCAGATAACACTAAAGCTGATCTGTGAGTAGTCCACTTCAGTGATGAATATCAGCCAAATGGGACACAAGAGTATGCCAACCGATAGATAGATAGATAAATACACATTCAGACGATCAATTTAAACATTGATTTTAGTGGAGAAAGTCATTTAGAGTTTATCTGTACAAAGGGATTTCGCACACTGTAAGAGATGAACAATTTCTTAGTGATTTCATCATGAGCTGACATTAGTTAGAGAACCATTGGAAAACCTGGGAGTACTGGACAACTGCCTCGTCCTAGTTTGGGACTCTTCAGCAATACGCACCCTCCGGGATTCAAACCCAGGACCTTCAGGTTACCTGAAGGTTCTCTAACTAATGTCAGCTCATGATGAAATCCTGAAACCAATCAAATCCCTACAAACCAACACTTAAATTTCTAAGTGCTTTTAAGGATTAATCTTCGTTAATATTGTTAGAAAACCAGAAATGGGCAACAGTAAAGAATAGACGCCAAAGTCAAATGACCTTAAACTAACCGATCAGATTCTTCTGGGTGAAAAGTGGCATTTATTCTATAAAAAAGTGTATTTATATATATATATATATATATATATATATATATATATATATATATATATATATATATATATATATATGAGTTGTATGAGTTCCATTTTGTAGGATCCATTAATTCAGAAGGATGATTGACTTTATTGTGGATGGATATAGCCTAATGATGATAGTTGCGAATAACCTCTCTTCACTCATCTGTGTGAATGGTAGTGCCTGAGAGGACTATAGTCGTTGTACTTGATATGTATCCACATATATATTTATGTGTGTGTATGTTGGTCTCTCTTTCTGTTTGCTCGCTTAGTCTGTGACCATTTCACTTGTATGAACCTGTCTCCTTTAACAATGTATATTCCCGTTATATTATATATAATATGAGTGTTTGTTGACAGTCCGTTGCTTGGTGACATATAACCATATTATATGTGTGGTTGTTGACATGTCTGCTATATTCCGCTATGTATATATAGATCGATACTCCATTATAATTAGCCATTCATGTTAAGACTGTCTAATGATTTGTTCACACCCTTGTCTGGACATTCATATATATTTCGCTCTCACAATTTGTGTGACTTACACTTACTTACCACTTTGGTGTGATACCACTTTTGCATTCTCTTTGTGTTTGGAAAATAGAAGTATCATCGCAAACCTAGTGGTCTTCTGATATCCTCCTTCTTGCGTCAGGACTATTAGTTTCTCGACCAGTCCATAACAATAATTTAGCGACGAGTACTATTGGTATTAAAACATCGGCAGTTCAAGTTTCGGATGCCTTCCACAAGCCCTTTTCGAAGATTCGTATCCTACAGTCTCGGCAGCCGAACGTGGTATTGTTGCCGTTCTCTTGCCACGATTCATTTTTCATCAGTATGAATGACGACACCAATTCCTCCAAGTACAGAAGTAAATTGCATTGATATTTTGTGAGGCAACATGCCTACAGTGTTGATGCCATTCACTGCACTGCGGACATTTTAGTATTCTCTGTTTCTGCAGCTGTAGCAGGTACTGGTCGTCTCAGTAGCCAATTGTGACAATTTACTCAATATTTCACTGTATGGCGGAGTTTCGGTTTTGAAGAGGAAAGTATTTAAAAATTTCACCATAATGTACAACTTTGCCAACAACTTTTACAGACTTCTTTATAATGACAGTGGCTACATCTGAATGCACGACCGTCAATAGGCCCGGCAATACTTCTGTAGATTCGTTATCTTTCCACATATAAAGGTTTTGGTCTTCTTTATCAACCCATTTTCCACACAGTAGACGTCAAAAACCAAATTTGAGTGAAACTTTAAATAAAGATTACGAATGGGGTAATCACTTGTAAAACTGAACGGTGATCTGATTTGTTGGTTCAAGGTCATTTGACTTTGGTGTCTATTCCTTACTGTTACCCAGAAGTGTGTGTGTGGCTCAAGTGAAGTTGTGGTGCACTGTGATGGACAAGGCAGTTCTACTTCTAACCAATGCACCACGGGTATGAACAACTCCATACTCCACTTGCTGAGGGGACTTGATCAGTCCAAGGTAGTATCTATCACTAGTGCTCATTCACAATGGACGTGGTTCATTTCTATCTTCATGGAATCGCAAACAGTGTTATTGAGCAATATATACATATAGTGTAACGACAGAAGACAAGAGCCAGGCAAAAGATCGCTTATTTAGGAAATCAACACATATTTATAGATTTTCATGTACATTATTATAGATTATTGTAAGCAAACAAACACAGTCTTCTGATTGGTGGTTACTCGCTGAGCGTTAACCTTTCATCTCTTTGTGACTGTTTCTTGAAGGTCAGGCCACCTATCTGGTAATTTTATCCGCCTGCGCAAAGTCTGCTGTAACTGGTTGTTGAATCAGTTTTTGTTCGTATTTTTATCACGATCAATATTGGGGACGTAAACATTGACGTAAATTAATGTCTACCAATTTTGGCTAGCAGACAGCTCTCACTACAATATAGTATATGGCTTATCCGATTTCGCTTTTAATGCCATCATATTATAATGAGTTGTGCATCGGTGGTTCCATGGTAGGAATACTCGCCAAACCACATCTCACCCTGGTTCCAAGGATTGATTTCCGGCCGGTAAAGACTGAAGGTGTGAGCATGAGGCTCTAGCAACCCCGCATTCCATAGAAGATGTATTCCAACCACTGCTAGTAAAACTTTAAGACTTAAACTTGGAGCCTTCTATGTTCCATTTGGAATTGTTGAGCATAATCGTTTCCAGTCTGATGGTTACTCCACTTATATTTGTCTACGCGTACTTTTTTTTTCTTGCTTTATTTAGCCCAAGATACTGGATGGGATATCTTTTCATTGGATTATCATGTTGATGGACCATTGGCTACCATATTCACTGATAATTGTCGATTTATGTATTTATTCTCATTTAATTTTCTTTGGCGGGCAAAACGTATGGAGTTTACATTGTGTAATTTATGGAAACAACAGTTGTGTACAACACGTCTTGGAAATAACCTACAAATTGATTTATCTGTCGTACTACATTTATTACAGTTGTTCGGCGCAGAGATTCGACATTTTATACAACAATTACAATATTATATTAATTTTGAAGTAAGCTATGCCTGTTGTATATATTTTTTTTCTTGCACTGTGATTTGGAGTTTTTTTTGTTAGAGCAACGAAGTTGCCTAATCTGTCCGGTTTTCTGGGGGTTAGGAGTGGTTGGTTAATTAGGCGAGGTTGCTGATGTGTTATAAGAGTCCATCATGTGTCAAGTTTGATCATGGAGTACTGGGAAGCTGTTTCGCCCTAGTTTGGCGTTATTCATCAATACTCACCTAATATCAGGGCTCGAACCCAGGTCCTTCCAATTAAAAGGAAAGCTCATAGACTTGACTTAAATAGCCTGTGAATTCTAACTTCTACCAATTCATGATTTTAGGGTGACTTGCACCAGCCAAATTTGACTTACTGACTAACTGGTTTCAACATAGAACTTCGCACCGATGTGCAGAAGTTCCAGTTACCAGACTCCATGTAGAGAAGAAAGTAGAAGAAATGCAAAGTAGAGTTAGCAGACAGGAATATGAGACTAAAGGAATAGTAATAACGAAGAAGAATATAGTTTTATTGGAAATTATAAGTCACAAGGAGTGGATGCATCTCCGCCAGTCATTGAGAACGATGAGTCTGAGTCATATCACCGATTGTCTCCATCCTTCGTTGGTTTTTACCATCCTGGGGACGCCAATCAGGAAGTTTACACCTTCTTAGTTGGCTGGCTTAAACTAACTGTTGTGGATTTCACTGACTGGTCCCATTTTTTGGTTTGACCATCGCTAGCTCTTTTCCAGCCTGATCCTATGTCAGCTAACATTGCCCGTCAAGGATGGCGATGGCTAGGTTAGGATGAGTAACACATACCCTAACCATCTCAGTCGATGTAACTTCACAGCCTCGTCAATTGATCTCCCCTCCCACCTACCTAGCACTCTACTCACACCAAACCTCGATATTGCTCATCTTATTATACCACTTAACATACACGCTAGATGGAACGCAGGCATCTATGATCAAAGAGAGCTAGCCTTTTCATGTCTTCCACTCTCAGTGGCCAGTTCTCACAGCCATAAAGGAGGACGGAGCGAACTGCTGAGCGGTAAACACGCTGTTTAACCGATAGCCAGGTGGATATCACGTCTACTCCAGATATGGCGTGAACTGGCATATGTGAAACTAGCCTTCTGTATACGTGCTGAGATTTTTTCGGCGATCAACCTGCTGGCATTGGCTTATGCAACTTCCTAAATAAGTGAAATGGTTAACATGCTCTACGACTTCACTCTCTATTTCTTAGCTACGAGTGAGTCAATGTAGTCCAGTCCGGTAACATCATCTTACATTGGACAGGAGCGAATCTCATGCCAAACATTTAAACGTTGCTGCTCAAGGTGTTCAGAAGACTACATTATGTCAGCGTCTTCGCCCAGGTGGGCGGACTATATCATCTGCATATTCTAAGTCAATGAGATTATACCCTGGTAACAAGTCAATCCCTCAGTCTCTGAAGTGAGTTAGGGTTAATTCCCTACGTAGATTTATGTTGTGATTGATTAGAAATGGGGGTAGTGGGCATCCCTTGGAGAATACTTATCCTCATATACGACTTAGTGGGCTCCACTCGCTAGTCAAGACTTCTCACTAGACCTCCAGGCATTTTCACCCAACATACATTTGAATTTTTAATTAATATTATAATAACAAATTCCTTATTATCATTGATAAGACTATTTTTAAAGTATGAGTTAATACTGATGTTCTTGGTGGATGGTGACTCAGTGTGTTGAACACATTTTTTTTAGCATTTTAATGCATCTTCACAGTTTCATAGATTAAATTCACATCATTGTCACCGGTCATATTTGACCATCTAATACAAAAGTTCTAGCCTTCTTGGAACCCCTTAGACTTTTTGAGCCCAAATAGTTGATGGGTATTACTCTTGCGTTTCTTTCACCTTCGTCACTCCCCACTATTCTCATCAATGGGATTGCAAAGGCTTTTAATAGGCCTAGTTTAGTTATTCCCTTGTTAAATGGCTGATTTCATTTTCTCTTATTGAGAAGCAGAACCAACAAGCGGTTCTTTTTTAGCACCGGTGCGTTGTTGCGTCGGTGGCACAGTGGTTAGGACTCTCGCTGACCATGCACATGGTCCGGGGTTCGAGCCCACGCCGGCGTACACCTGATATCTATTTTTATTTTATTTTATTTTTTATTTTTTATTTACAGCTTGATTCCACACTGTATTTTTGGTACAAGTATGGAATTGTCAGCATGGATATCGGTAGCCCAAATTTTGCAGGCCGACCATAGATATCAGATGTGCGTCGGTGCGGGCTCGAACCCCGGACCATGTGCATGGTCGGCGAGAGTCCTAACCACTGTGCCACCGTCGGCCTGCAAAATTTGGGCTACCGATATCCATGCTGAAAATTCCATACTTGTACCAAAAATACAGTGTGGAATCAAGCTGTAAATAAAAAAAAATTCATTAACATTAATAGTGTTTTCAAAAGTGTTAACTAACGACTGTAGTTGGTTTAAAGATACCTCTCGTGGTTGTGTTTGCGCACTAATGTACAGTTTACCAAGCTACGGAATGGTGCGCAAGTGCTTAACAGCTGCCCATTTTTCACTTCCGTCCAGTTGCAAACTTACAGGTGTACAGACTAGTTTCCAAGATGGTGTTCCAGAATGCGTGGTGATCTCCCACTGATCTCCTTCATAACTTATGGTTGGGCGGCGGTCTATATGTGTGCGTCATTTGGCTTGATTGTTGTAGTCGTCAATTGAAGTAGTTTTTCCCATAGTGTTGGAAATCAGTGTTGTTCAATAAGAGATGGCTATTTCACAGAATCTGAGCGATACGGTCACATCCTGCTGTACTAATATACATGTATGTGTGGTCACACATACCTAGAGAGGACTCATCGATCTCTGCAGGTCATAGCTACAGAACACATTCCCAGGTGTCTGCAAGTAACAAATAAAACCACTGGATTTAATTATTCTTGAAACAGCTATTCAGGATCATCCATCGCAAAGCATATCATGGAGACTGCTTACGCAGAGTTCCAGGATTTCGTCATAAACTGACACCGGTTAAAGAACCATTGAAAAACCTACCAGGGAGTGCCGCCAGACAGCTGTTTTGTCCTGGTTTGAGACTGTCCAGCCATACACACCCGCTGAGGTTCGGACCTACAACCTTCTAGTTACAAGACAAGCTCATATATTATTAAGCCACCGGGGCCGTATCCAATGATATATGGATTCTAACTGTTGATAATTCATGTGGCGCGACTACTAGCGAAAGTTATCGCTGGCGAGTATTTGTCCCAAAACCCGACCCTTTGTACCCCACTGGTGACGACTTAATGGTTTACGAGCTCGCCTTGTAATCGGAGTGTCCTAGGTTCGAACTTCAATGGGTGCGTACTGTTGAAGAGCCCCGAACAAGGACGAAACAGTACTCCCTGGCAGGTCTTCCAATGTTCCTCTAACCGATGTCACTTCATGATGAAATCCTGTAAGCAAATATCACACACGGTTGATTTCAATAACGACTTTAACCTATATACAAAAACAAGTTTGTGGTCGCTTACTTAAATTCATTAAAGCCTTAGTCATAAAAGGGTTTAATCCTGTCTTACTCAAAGTTTGCCTATGTAATCCAGTTTTGGAAACAAGGTTCAACTTTTTTTAATGATATTCTCACGCTTTTTTTTCTGTTTTTTACCTCATATTTTACCGTGATTTCCTCACCTCTTATCTCTGACCTTGACCCGCACACAATTTGACCCATATTGTATTGATTTATGCTCTGTTCCCTTCTGTATTAATGTGCATGCAAGAACGTGTGTGTGTGTGTGTGTGGGCGCGTGTGCGTGATCAGACTGTCCCAAATGTGTTACTCAAATACACATTACACATGTGTGTGTTAAATTACGTCTTCTTATTGTGTTGTCAAAATTCAGATAGGGAACTGACCGAGTTAAACTTTAAGCATCACTAACTAACTACCAATGGAGTGCATCCGCACCAGTGACCTTGAAACACCCACTGAGCAAGTTAATGAAACCTGACAAGCAATTTTTTCACCATCAATAAGATATGCTCATTGAGAGTGTTATGCTATTAAACGGGAAGTTTCAGCTTAGGTTTGGTAAAGATTCATTTACGGTTTCAGTCAAAGACTAGATTGGGTTACGTTAGCCAAATAAAGGCGATATGAGGGTTAGTTTAGGCATATTTTCAATTTAGGGTAAGGTTCAGGAAAGACTAGGGTTATTGTTCGGTTTAGAAGACCCAAATGATTACATGCATAGAATGTGGTTCTGGTGATACAAGAATAGAACTTGTGTATTGTGGTGGTCGAGTATAATCCCATTGTGGGTGAGATTTATTCTGATAAAGTCTCACAGTGTTATACAGTAATGTTTACTGATGACTACGTTTCGAGCACAGTTTATCGCCCAGTAAAAGTTACTGCATGACACTGAGACTTTATCAAGATAAATTTTACCCACAATAGAATGATACTCTCTGTTGATATACTCCAACCTAAAACTGAGGGCTATTTTTATACAAATTGTAGAGGAAGGTATCCTCTTTAAAACTTATCTACAGTTTTTATGCATTTTGTTTGATAAATATATGAATTCCATACACAAAGATGCCTCCTTCGTGTGATTGGTGCGTTTGAGGTCGTTTGCCGATTTGTAGTTGGTGGTACTTAAAGGTTATCTGGCTCTCATCGTTGTTTGTGGTCACAGAGTGAAGTGAAGATGACTCACTAGCATGCAGAATAGTACTAACTGTAGTAGAGAAGCAAGATGAGGAAGGCGATGTGAGTAAAGGAGAATGAAGATCAGGAAGGTTTCGTGTGCTTTTGGAAGTGTGTGGGTGGTTGTTACTTCCCGCCTGCCCACACCGTGGAAGTTGATTGAATCTTCGGGTACCTGAAACAGAGAGAGGGTTAGTGTCTCATTATCGCAGGGCCCAGGGGACAACTCCTTGAGACTGGCTGGTCACACAGCCTGTATGAAC